TTTGCTTCGTGTGCGACCCTACGCAGGTATGGAGTATGCAAGTACACACTTACATGACACGACGCCAACGATAGAGAAAATATGCTTCTAGGTAGTGAGGTAGTTCTTGCCCTACCCCTGTGGGCTGGTGTCATTCTTTCTAAAGGCTTGCAGCTCCGAGGTTCATGGTTCGCCATGTTTCAACCTTGGCAGTCCGGTTATTGCCAGAGAAGATTACATGTGATTAGCGCTGCCCGGGATCGAACCACAATGCAGCAAAGTGATGTCATGCGAGTAAACTGCAGCCGCGCAATGTCCAGGCATAATGTAAAGTGGCAAACTGGCATGATTACGGGGTTACCCGGAAAGTACTGAAGAGTTCTTTGTAACCCATGAGAATTAGAGGTAAGCCCTAGCGATCCCCGTTCCCTCTTTTTCCGTGGAGACTAGAAAATATGAGATATAGGAGTTCTAGGACAAGCTTTTAACAAATAGCCCTACCGCCCTTCACGTAGGCTGCTTTCATTATTCTGCGGCTGCTTGGACCACCTCTTCAGAGACCAGTGGCCTGTCTCCATATCGCACGAGATGCCTGACATGCAAACAGAGATTGGTGCAGTTTCATATCAGGGTTGCTGAAACAATCTAAAAAGGTAAGTGGTGGCACTAGTATCCGGACATCCTGTGTATTTTGCCACATCCAGAAGCATATTCAAAACTATATCTATATATACCCTCCTCCTATATCCTGGCTCCTGCTGTCCCAGTGTCTACCAAATTTCAGTGAGAATGGTAGCGCATTAGTTACTTGTGGCTTCAAACTCCAGGGACCAGTTGGAGTTGCTATGGATAAGAAATTATGCTTTTTTTTTGGGAATTTGAATCAGCTGAATGAAAGCTGCCTTAGAAGGTATTGACAAGTATATCCTACCTTGAGGAGGCTTTTAGCAGTTGTATCCCCTCTGGACTTTTTAATAAAGTCCGAAGTCATGGATGAAATATTGCGTGCGACATCGTCACAAAGAGTAGGCTCGCCAGTAATCCTTGTTGTAGGATCGATTAGATTAGCGATAAGCGTTCCTGTTCCTTGCAAATCTAGAGTCCTAGAGCCTAGATCTATGCCCTGAATCATACTATCTCCAATGTTTGCTAAAAGCTGTCAATAGAGGATGTGACGCAAGGACCCCATCTACTTACCAATCTTTATCTCGCCATCAATGTTTAACAGGATGTTTGTATAGTCAATAGCGCCATGAATGATTTCCAGCTCAGAGTGAATATAATCAAGCCCGAGTAGTACTTCCTTGCAAACAGTCGCGGCATCAGACTCACTAAATTGAACTCCCGGACTGTTAGTAACACAAGCCAATGAAACTGCCAAAAGCTCAAGCCGGTATATTAAGGTTATACTGGCTTCGCTGCATTGAAATCCATAAAGCCCAACCAGATTCTGATGAAGTGCTCTTCGTAACGATCTTCTTTGCTTTGGAGTAATGCTTGACCTAGTCTTGAGTAGTACTAATGGGAGCCGGTCCGCATCCTTTAAAGCTATAAAGCCACGGCCGGCCTGATCCAGCTCCCACACCTTGATGTAACTTATATCCGCATCGTCTAACTGGGTAGACATCCTTCTTAGAGCCTGTGAATCTGGTCGTACTGGTAAGGGAATGGCGAGTGACCGATCTTGGATATCACGACGCCCTGAAGTCGTGTGGACATGGGCATGTGAGTAAGGTATTAGATTATTGGAAACTGTCCGTGCAGAAGCTACTTGAAGTGTTACTAGTAATCCTGTTAAAATGATTGTAACCTTACCAGGGGACTCATTAGAGATTTGAATGTCTACCAAACTCTTAGAATCTTGCTCTTCCAGGGCCGTACCTCCATGTAAGGCCTTCCTTGAGGACGGAAGGCTGGTTGATCGCTTTGCACTCCTATCCATTATTATAAAGTACTTCACTGTGCGCAAATCCAAAATCCGATTTCTTCAATAGTAATTACTAACTATCGTAAAGGAGAGGACCATAGGATGACTATATATGATTGCGCCCCCAAGCACTTTTGTATCTCCTAGACCCAGGAACTGGAGTGCAGTCGGTCCCACTTTCTGGTATTGCTTTAGGCAACCATATAAGTAGCAAGCTGTTGTACTCTCTTTTTGTAGTATGGTAAATTAAAAATCCAATTTTCAAAGCCACGAGAGACCTTATAGACATAATCTCAGGCGAAAGTCCCAAAGCACGACAGCCAATATTACTGATCAAAATTTTCTTATCCAATCGAGCACATGTCTCTTATAAGTAGCGAATTCTGACTTCATATTTAAGCCAAATTAGTGGTCTTGATATGTGCAGGAACATTAATGAGACTGCAGGGAGTTTCCAGCAGTCGATTCATTCTGAGCCGAGCTATACTTCTTTATGAATAGAAGTGCAGATAATCCAGAGAATGGCCCTGATACATTACCATTCAACATCTATCCCATGGCTGAAATGCGAGCTCGAATATTTCTATTCCTTGAGCACTGTTATCGTGCACTAATTCCCGTATGTGCTTGCGAACGACTCTATTTGCAGATACTTAGCGAAACATCAGCATATAACCAAAGAATTGCTTGTAATAATGTAACAATACCTGCGACAAGAAGCTGCCCAATCTGATTATGTATCTCTTCTGTTAATTGGATTTTCCAATCCACCTTGCCACAGTATACGGTTATGAGTCTGTGGTATCCGAATGTATGTGCAACCTTTGACGGTGTTTCTAGCTGGTCATATATAGTGACGCTCAACATCTGCACCCCTCTAGTGATTAATAAGCGTGTATTATCGGAAAGATCATGAGTGTACTGACACATCCATTATCCTGCTCTACCAAAGATTGTAGCCAATCTCTTGCCCCCTCCCAGTCTCCCTCTCGCTGTAATTGCCATACCAATGATATTTTTCGGGTTCTTGTTTGCCCCTTATAGGTTTGCGCAAGTAGCTGCTTGATATATGGTAGTTGAGCGGCAATACCGATTCCGGTGGTAACCATGAAAACATGACTGTAGTCCTCAACTCCTAAAGGACCTATGGAACTGACGTTAGAGGGACCGAATGGGCCATCAATCCATGCTCTTCTTTCTATTGGCGAGTATTTAATGAGCTTTTTAGTAAAGCCCGATCGCGCTCTTATAAGAAGTGAAATAGAGTGAATCCTTCCAGCAGTATCTTCATCCCACCAAGCGATGGAAAAAGGATGCGATTGAAAGATATAGCGGAATCCGAGCCCTGGAATGTTGAGACTGATACTCTCACCTGCACGTACTACCCATGGCCTTGGAAGTAACACTGTTATACGAACTATATCATTTCCGCATAATTCAGAAATACATCTTGTCGTTTTCTGCCGACCAGATATGTTTCGAAAAAGCATGCGAGACACTTGTAAGGTTGCTGTAGTCATAAAAGTAATTGCCAGAAGATAGACCCAGTATTTTGTATATGACGTGTGCACATGCCGCCAGATACTATAAAGAGTAAAGATCGCACATCCTTGATGAGTCCTAAGAAATACTTCATAGACCCGCCGTCTTACTAGTGGTAGAAGCAGCAGCGACAGAAGCATACATCCTGACTGGACCGGGTTAGTCTCCTCTATTGTCTGACACGAATAGACTTACAATAAGGCCATAGATCTGAACAGTGTCTGAATATGAAAATTGAATTTCCTGGCTCTTGATAGCCACGTGAATAGCACCTTGTAGCACCGCCATAATTGCGGATATTCGGTGAATATACTGATAGGTGCCTGATGCTATTCCAAGCAGACGAGCTCCAAATTCATGATCGCCCGCCCAAAAAAGAAGTAACAGAGTGAAAATTGAGAGACGAGCTGCGCGTATACCGGCTTCAGAGATAGTATTTACCCCTATGAGATTGAAAATCGCCGTGCCGGCAAAGTAAATGATGGGGCCCATAAGTCGAGGCTTCAAGATGATCTTGATATTTAATTGGTGAGGTTGGAAGCTTGGATATACCACATGTACCAACCACCACGGACGAACATAAACAAAATAACAGTTTAGAAATATGCGCCAGCCGAGATAGAGGAGCATCACTGCTAAAAGCGCGGCAAGGGCTACAGCATAATACACCCCTATAGGCACCATGGTCACGAGGCTAAATGTATGAGATAAAAAGCCGACTGCTGTAACAGTCCGGTACTAGGGTTATCTTAAATAACATTAAGAATATCTTCTGTAGGTGGACCTTGCTATATTCCTACAGATAAATACGTTTCCAGCATTTCATGTTTTTAGCTCAGTCAGAAATACCAAAGAACAATAGTGGAGACACTGCAGTCTGAAACTGGAGTGGCTCCATGATGTGTACCTTCAATCAAAACGTGTTATAGATAGCTACGTTGCTACAGATAAGTTCAACGGCGGATCTAGAAACGGAGTGGTGGGTAACAAAGTGTATCATAGTACTGTAACTTCATAGAGGAGAATCTGAATCTAGTCCTAACTAAAAGTTCTGCGATATTCATATTTGTTTCCTCTTCGGTTAATAGTAAGCTCCCGCATGGCTTCTCCTGTCCGGATATTGGATATGCCATCGACAACAGTACTAGTAGTACCTAAGCTCAAAGAGACACCCCAGTCATAAAATCTCTCCGAAGGCAGCCAAACATTCTCCAGGTGCAGAATCTCAAGGGTCCTCCCATGAGTAAGAAGAACCTTCTGTAGCTCTGGCACCTGTAGCCAGCAGTTTTCCAGCTCGAGTACTCGGACTGAGGGTAAACGTGTGGCGGCTATGAAATCAAGCAAACCAGGACTGTCGACCAGATAAAGTTCTTCAACACTGTGTAAAGCACACACAGCAAGACTCGATACCCTCGATCCGACCAAGGGCAATCTCGAGTAGAACCCAGTGACTTGAAGAGTATGGATTGTAATACCGTTCTCCCTGGCTGCACAGAGTCCTTGGAGGACTGCTTCAAGATGGTCTGAAAAAGAGTTCTTCCAGTCTACTAGCATACGACCAGTAAACCAACGGAAGGGTTTTTCGATATTATTTGTTAAGCAGATCTCTAATGACCTGAGTCGCAGGAAGCGAGGAAGGCAAGAGGAGAATGACATGAAGTCGTGGTCCGCTTGAATTATCGCTTGTTGTTCTTCTGATAGATCCTTGAAGTAAGAGTATATTCTCTTATATGTAATTTGCCTGCCATGGTAGGCCCAACAGAACTCCCTTTCATCCCTGACATATTCAAGAGGGGTGTATAGACACGTGCTGAAATAGTGGGGACATTGAACCACTGGTCAAATGTAAGCATGAACAAAAGCAAACAAGAGCCAGCTTACTAACATGGATCAATGATCTCTGAAGCCTTGTAGCAAATCGTCTTTACATAGTTACTGATATATGAAAGAGAGACCTGTTGCAATTTCTCCATGCCAATCAGTGAGAACCGAACCGTCAACTTTTCGAACATATGTGGCAGACAAATGAAGCGAAATGCTCTATTAACGCATGACAAAGATTCGAGGGAGCTACACTGCAACACATGTATAGCAATTATTTCCAGAAGCTCCGTAGGAAGATGTTCGAGAGACAATGATGCGCCTTTCATTGTAATGCCCATGTAATGCGACCTGAAAGTACTGCAGTGTATGGCGAATCAACAAAGACGAGTGACCATTGCTAAGACTTAGAAAGAGTGTGAAGATAATTATTGAGCATGTTTATTATTTCGGTTCCCTGATCGTTGTGTTGTCATCGTCAGATCCTTGAAGGTGGGCCAAGTACGGACCGGCGTGCGCAGGCCCAAAATCGGCGTGGCAAGCTGTGGATACCGTCCCGATAGTCTAGTCCAAAATAGGCATGGTCATACCAGGTACAGCTCCCTCCTTATAACTGTGCGACTTAAACGCTATTTCCTAAAACCAAAGTAGATTATTTTCTGCATTTCAGTCAACTCACACACGCAGCTATGCAAGTTTCCACTCCGACCAGTGATCTAAAGGAGACAGTAAATCCCTTGTCAATATGGCAGGATTATGATCAACACGGTCTTTTGGATTGGCTTCTTACCGAGAACCCATTGTTACTCTCTGTCAGACCTCCAAGAACAGCCTCTCAACATGTATCCAGGGTTAGGGAGATACAGGGACTGGGATCAGATTTGGTACACAAGTCTTCTTCTGCTTTTCTCCGCCTCTATCTCCCAGTATGGCAGGAATATGGAGTCTTCCTTCCTGCGACTTCAAATATTCCCGTGAGATACGACACCTCAGGCACCGGATATTACCTTCCAATAAGTCTATTGAATATCGCACAGAAGGTTGAGTCTCGACTTGCTATAATTATCCAGTATCTTCATTTCCTCAAGCGCCTCTCTATTGTTAAAGCAGCCAAAACTCAGGAGCAGGGCCCAAAATATGCGCCTGGCCATCGTGCGTCCTCTTTCGTTGTTGATTACACTATGAAGGCCATGCATGTGGATTGGAATACCATTGATGAGCGGGAGCAAATTGAACGCCGACGGCGGTACCTCCGAGAGAATCGACAAGCTCGGCGATGGTTATTGGTGGCCTTAAGATTAAGCTTTGGGATCCTTCTTATACCCAGCAAGACATTGGAACGCAAAGTGTACGATCCAATCATATTCCTACAACCCCTGACACACTCAACTAATGATGAATCCCAGAAATGATGCTAGTATCATGGAAAATTGTCTTGTTTCTATCGTGAATGAAATAGCTACCGAGCGGATGAGGATAGCCCAAGATCTGCATCTTCTTGATGAGACGGCCCGAAGCATTCTGAACAATCGCGAGTCTATATTCGTGGCTGATGTGGACCTTGTAGTCGCTGAGGTTGATAAAATTCTTTATAATCGGCCACAGCTGCAACTCAGGGAAGAAAGCTCTGATTACTCTCCCAGGTCATTGGGCAGCTGTGCAAGTCCTTCGAGTATCACAGAAACCTTCAGTGATCTTTCACCAATATTTCCAGGTAGTGGAGACATATTCTGTGGGCATGGGAGTGGTGGACTTACCGATTCTTGAAGGTCTCACAGCTTAAACTTACATGTATATATAATTTTGCACTCAAACCAATACACATTACGAGACTTTCTGGATAGTGATGGTAGCAACTGCTATGCATTTAGATTTATGTCTTTGTTCTTTATTTTACTTCCCCTTCCCAAGGTTTGAATATAGACTATAGTGGAATTGACGAAAACAGTACATAGGTCTTGTGTTTCGAGGTTTTTTGGATCCTTCTGACACAGGTGCTGTTTTCGAAATTGCCAGGCATAATGCATCCATCAATAAGTTACTCTTCTAATTGCAGCAAGTGAGGCAGCAACCCCACTATAGATCAGCATACTAAGGTGAGAAAATCAAGCGGTAGCTATCCACATACTAAGGATACCCAGTAGAAACGCCTTTCCTAAATGTGTTGGCTTACTAAATACATACAAAGGACCGTTCCTCGTACTTAGAGCTATCACAGCTACCATAGGATTATGCGGGTGGAAATTTCATTCGAAAGAGCTTCTTCAATAAGCTTCACCTATTAGCATGTTCCAGATCCTTGTTAGATACTTTCCACGACACGTTATGAGGTGATGTGAATACCAAATATACCTTTACTATACTGTATAAATGCAGGTCCATGCGGTACCGCTGATTCTAAGCCTAGACACTAAAAACATCTTCAATTTCTCCGGTTAATGGAAGGTCTTAATGTCCAATCGAATTCAATTCGTATTCTTATACCTGATCGAGCCCGCTGTATAAGATGCTAATTGCGCAGGTGCTTCATTGATTGAAGCAAGGATGTGGCCCTGAACGCCTCAGATCCCCCCAACCCGCAGCAAGCACATGAAACAACGCTTTCTGCGGCGTAGGAAGATCATCGCCACAGCCAAACACACAACTAAAACATCAGAATCAGAGTTCTATACAATCAAACGAGTGTCACAACTGGCTGACCAATTGCCTGCGAGCCATCATCCTCTATCTCGTCCTTCTTCCATGTTCCCGCTTCCTACATGTTTGTTCCTTTTGATGTGCGTATCCATCCCTGGTTGACTCCGTACGGGGCGTGTATGGGTCCGTCTACCCAGCATCTTCAGCGCCTATCCCATAGCCCTCAGGGTCAGAAAAGTATCAAATATATCAGATATCGTTGAAGCAAATTGGACAAGATCATACAATTGGTGAGCTTGTTTATTTTGTAGCAATTTCAAATCATGTTCGAAGTACTAATGTTTCCTTCTGCATCAAGCCCCAAGAGATCCAGGTAGTGTTGCTCTGCCTCTGCCAGTCTCTCAGTTGTTTTAACCAAGATATCCTCCATCTTGTGAAATACCCCAGTTATCTGCTGTTTGAACTCCAATAGGGCTTGTCTGGATTCCTTATGCCATTGCAGCTCGGCCTTGAGGTAGCTCACCTCATAGGTGAGATTGTTTAATTGTTGTTGGAAATTTGTAGACGACCGTTTAGACAGCTGGAGACGGGAAGGCAGCCTTTCAATGTTGGACGAAGTGCCTCCATGACGGCGAATGTAATCATCAATTGGCGTTATTTCCTCTGAAATTGAATATAGCGGTCGAGAATCACTTGCGTTCATTATGAGGGGATGTTGCTCATGAAAAACTGGATAGAGGCTATAGTTGGAAGAGAAGTCTAAAGGGCGGGAGGTATCCTATATAAAGTTGGTGAATACTCCGTGGATGCTACAGCAGGCCGCAATATTTACAACACGCTCCGTCATGGGATTGACTAATAATAGACTTACGTTAATCTAGCAGTCTGCTTAACCTTTATTGTAGCCTTGCTTGGCATTTGCACTCCTTTTTCTCTACCACATATACAGCGTGGAAGAGTTAGAATTGTTGAGAACCTTCAAATCAAACTTATGCAGGATCGGAAAAACCGCCCAAAGGTCAGGTAATTTAGTATTGTACGCGCTTCCACCTATACTTCGAAAGGAATTTCATCTCCCTTCTGTCTAACTAGGTGGCCGTAATGCGCAATAACATGTAGTAAGAGTTTATGTTTCTATCAGCAGCTTCCACTCTTGCAGTTAAGGTTAGTCACATCATCTCCATAGGTTTGTGTGTATGTTAAAGGGACTTCACTCGGTATATATCTATATTAACAGATTTAAGGGCTCTATCTACTATAATACTACTGTATAGGCGTTTGTAGCAGGAGCTCTCATGACTTAAGATTTACAGGGGACTACATAATCCTAGGTTTCAGAATATATCGGTAAACTTGGTTATGGAATAAAGTGGTGAGATATGTTCAAACTTCTTCTATCTGTCCCCAGTAAGACATGTTTGACTCTGAACAGTCCTCAAGTTGTTCAATGGTACCCTTAATGCCGGTATTAACTTCTTCAGATAATGCCTGGCGCAAGCTCTTTATGATATCATTCTTTGATTCCAGGATTGAATGCAAGTTAGATATCATAATACGCTGTTGCTCATTCTCCAACAGGAGTTGTTGTGTGTCAACAGATTTGGTATCAGAGCCCAGATCCTTGCTTTCTCCGCTCAGCAAGGCATGATTGACCGACGAAAGGGATGCGAGACGTGAAGCCATTTCCCGTATTTTTGTACGTTCCAACTCGAGGGTACGGTGGAGAGTCTTGTTGTCCTCTGTGACATGACTCAGTTTCAACTCTGATCGTGTTCGCATATGCTCAACTTCGCAGAGTCTGCCTTCTAAATCGGAACAATGGTCGATAAGCTGCCGGTAGGTTGCTCTATTCCGACGTATTTCCGATTCCAGCTGATCCTGGTACCTTAACACCGCTTCATCCTGCCTTATGAAGTTGAAAAGCATGCTGATATCCTTTTCAACAGTTATTCACGGTCTTTTGCATTAAACATTAACCGAAGAATGACTTACCATGTGCTTCCATTGGACCGAATAGTCAGGTGTTTTACTCTTGTCGGGAGTTAAACACATAGTCAAACGCAATGTACGGAGCTATGGCTTCTGGCTTCTTATTCTCTCTGTAGTTTTTTTGTCGCAACTTTCACTCATGAATCATATAAGTCTTCTTGTATTGATGGAGCCTCTTGTAGAAGTCTGTTCTGGACCAACGGGCAATTATGCAGTGACAAAGGTTATAGAAAACGGCGTGCCACGCCTTAAGTGGCGTGAGACTGTGAGTGAGGGTAGGTGAACATGACTGAAATAACACAAGTCCGGCCTAGCCAATAATCTGCACGATGCGGAGTTTAGTTGGTGAGACATCTGCCTACGTGGCTGCACAAGGTGGGAATACTCGCGCGGCTTTTCCACGCATGCAATATAGTTCAATTTTCCAATTGGCTGGTAAAACCTGTTGGGGTAATTGCTCCCCCTAGCCATCCTTTGATACAGGTGGAGAATCTCAAACTTCTAGCCCATTTCGGTGGCACTATTGCGCACTAACCACTGAGTAACAGTCTGCCCTACCTATAATCTTATCTAGGGATGCGTTGATCCTAAGGATAAATAGTAATTCTATGAGTCATTTTCTTGACCAGACCATGGATTGTGGCCACCCGTTCCAGTGAATGCCGGTGGGGCTAGCTAGAAAATACGCTAACCGATCTGGGATAATTGCTCGGGAATTGTATTACAATAGAGTTCCACGCTCACCGCACTAATTTATCCCGGTACCTGGTTGTCGGGACGGGCCGGTTGAACTCTATTTGCCGTAGTTTTTGTATGATGCACCAGTAGGGGAGGACCTCCCTGTCATGGAGGCGTTCTGTTCCAAAGCCTTCTTTCGATTATTATTTACTTTTTACTTCGAATTCTTTCTTTCCTTTTTCCTGTATTCTCTAGCAGCGTGCGTATCATCATCTAATCCTTTACGTCAATCTTTTTACTGTCCATGGTCAGTACTGGAGGATGTTTTATTAAAGAGGAACGAGTCTAATAGCAGACTGGAAGAGGCAAGCTTGAACTTTTACACAGGTAATATTATATAGCAGGTGATAATTAAAAACAGCGGATTTCACTCTAAATATTGAACGATATTATATACTGTAGGCATATCAGAGATCACCCGAGGGATATGTCACATAAGTGGCTACAGGCGGCCGTCCCCTGAGAAGCTTCCATGAATCGAGTGTCCTAACTGATTGATAGCATTTTTCATCCTCTCCCGTGTCTGGCGCTCCATTTCAAGGAGATCACCCAACTCTCCAGAGAGTTTGGTCACCGTGGCCGCCAGGATATTTATCTGCTGAGACAGAAAGTCCAATCTTTGGCTCGTATCAGCAACGCATGTACCCTGGCACATAGTTTCCCTATGTTTCAGTCAGTAAGTAAGGTTGTAATGACGTGATTAAAACCCCCTACCCAGCGTGTTGTACGCACTGAAAATTGCTATCATCTTGTCAGCAAGCATCTCTTGGTCTAGCTGTAATAGCACTCACTCCAATCCTTCATTAACTGATCCGTTTATTCGTTCATCAATGGCCAGAAGTTGATCCAGGGGGTCATGTACAGGCAGTGAGGGCTCCCGCGATAGAGGTAGTCCTGGCGGAAGAGCTACTGCATCACCATGCATATCCAGTCTTTGTTCTGCCAGAAGGTCGTCTATAGTAATAGTATCAGACCCGCCGGTCCATATATCTGGTATGGTGTCCTGAGACATAAGAAGAATATCTTGGGATTGAAAATTGGAAACATTCATATTGTAGATCGTGTAGTGTTCATCTTACAGAGAACTCGGCCGTTCCTAAGCAATATATAGCCCTGTCAATGTAGAATCTGAGCTACTAGCTTTGTCACCATAGATTGCAGATCCTAATAAATATGCCGGGTCTCTCGTTTTTCTTACTGGCTGACATGGGGTTGTTCATTAGGCTGCTATTAGGTATCTAGCGTAGGCAAGTATAGGCAAGCGAACCCCCGGAGTGTTATCATGGTCCTCAATTCGGAGCCCCACTTTGAATACGCATTAGCTGAATTCGTGTCATTACGCGGGTTATGGGCGCGACAATCTCTCCACTTGGGTTTTAAGCTAGGCTGAGTCAGTCATCCAGCGGTTGATTTTATCATCAAGTCCAGGGTAAAATGGGTCAGCCACTCCGTTTCTGCACTCCACCCTGGACCATCGGACTCAGAGACTGAGGGGTGCTCACACAGGTGAGCAATTGTAACAAGGGACTGCTCACCCATGAGATGTATACTTTCTGACACTAGGTTACTTCAAAAAGGACGCGATCAGCTGAAAGTGAATGAAATGAAATCAGGCATCCATCTAATTCTGTAAATATAAGTATGCAGGTACATTCTCGAGTAAATCGTACAGTGTTGCCTTGGACCATAATTTGAATAATAAGCATGCGACACACTGAGAACATTAGCTGGTTGGATGTCGGGCTTGCCGAAGACAACCGGTTTGTCATCCACGACCATGATCGACTGAGTCATGTCCTGCGGATGTTGCCAAGCCCCGCTAGCCAGATGCCTTCTCTATGCCTCTTCCTTGGGGGTATAGCAAAAAATAAAGCGCTTCAACAACTTTTCCCGCGGAATAACATTGGAAGGCACAAATCAGGCTCTGCTATAGGCCTACGGTATGATATCTCGTCGCTAGAATCACCTAATCCTATCTTGTTTGCCGATGGAAATCCACAGCTTGATCCTCGTCCCGGGCGGCGGCCTGAGGTTGGAGTTAGTCATCCGGTCACATGGGAAGCCGCAACCGCACAGGCAGTTCTCCATGTTATTTGGTATCGGTTGATGTTTATCTTTGCAGACGCTATCTGCATATTTGCCGACGATTTCTCTGATTTTTCAGACCTTGTTGAATTCCTGATATCATGCTTGAATAACCCGTCAACGTCCTCCCTACCGCCCGCTGTACGACCGCGCCTAGTAGTCGTTTTTTCCAGTGGGGTGGTCGGGTCAAAGGAAACAATACTAACTGAGAAGCTATATAGTCAGAATGGCCGAACCAGCCCACGGCCTATAGAAGCAAGTTTTTCTTCCATCAATATGATTCAGGTGGGAGATGTTGGATTATCTGAAAGAGCAAGACATGAACGTCTCCGGGCGTTACTCCTGGGCCAGCTCACTGATATGCAAGAGGTCCGTCAAGATCACCATGCACAGTTCACTGCTCTTCACCTGGTTGGCCTATTTCAATCAGCCCTAGGGCACATAGCGACCCATATCGATCAACCCTTCAACTTTATCTGGGCTACAAGAGAATGCCGTGAAGTACCTTTAAACATAACAGACCACCTGGCCCACTACTGTGAAGTCGGGCTGTCTGCTGGTTATACCTGTGATGACCTGATACCAAGCATTGCTTCTGCCCTTCTTATGGATTTCTACGTACCTGGAACGGTTGGTAAGACAGTGCCCCTGCAAAATCTCCGCGCAAGTGAATTTAATGTTTATCGTAGACTATGAGCCCAGGGAGGTTTTTCGCACATTGTACCGAGACTCGTTTCTTCATGGAATATGTTCATCCACACAGTGCGCCTCATTTGAAGAAAAAGAGGAGCAGGTAGATATGATTGAATGCAATATGGTCTACCTGTTCGATAAACTGGAGCGAGGGTCGATAGATTCAGCAACTCTTCGTAAAGAAGAGCTCTTATCCTATCGTGGCCGACTTTGTCGACTGCGGTCGACCCGCATCTGTCTATATTGCCTCCTTCGTACTGCTCAACATTCTTTGTCCTGTGGCCACACAATGTGCGACATTTGCGCCCAGGTATTCGGGAGGCCAGCATCAGACATAGAGTACCGGTTCACAATCACCGAGTGTTTGTACTGCCTCTATCAATCCCCATTGGTGATTGATGTACTTCCCCCTACTATGAATCCAACAATACTTGCAATTGATGGAGGCGGGGTTCGAGGTGTTATTCCGCTTGAGTTCCTTGTACTTGTGCAGGAGAGCCTTGGTCCATCTTGCCCGATATGGGAGCTGATTGATCTCGGAATTGGGACCAGCTCAGGTTAGTAGATACTGGTTTGGCATACATTTCACACTGTTATGGCTAATAGAAGTAGGGGGACTCAGCATTCTGGGACTTCTGAAAATGAGGTGGGATGTTCAGACATGCATTACAGTATTCATGAGTCTGGCACGACGGATTTTTGATCGTCGACGCAATTCGATATTTTCCCAATCTCATTTGATCTCCTGCGTCCATAAGTGGCTTCTGTGGCTTCTTCATGACGGTTGCTATGATAGCCATGTCTTTGACTTGGCTCTAATGGAGGCCTTTGGGAAACAGACACGTCTATTTGACTCCGAAGCTCAACCATCTTCCAAGCCAACAGTCTCAAGTACTAAAGTAGGAGTCGTTGCTGCGAGCATCGCTAAGAACACCCGCTCTTTTATTTTTGGCAATTTCAACGGCCACGAGATTGTGAAAGAAAACAGTGACTGTGAAGCCTGTGAACTTAACATCATTCGTCCAGCACAGGCTGGCCTAGAACCAAAAACTTGGGAAGCGTACGTTACTTGAGAGCGAAGTGATCCCAATGCTGACTGTCTTCGCACGTAGCGCCAGAGCCACAGCAGCAGCGCCTTTGTAAGTTCTATTAGGTATCACTAACGCATATCATTGACATCAATATAGCCTCTACCCGCCTGCCTATATCCGAGGCATTGGCTCTTTCCAAGATGGTGGGCTCACAGACAATTTTGCTGCCGATATTGCTCGTCGTTTATGCCGTTGCATATGGCCTACACGTAAGCAACCTGCCCGACTTTTGTCTCTCGGCACTGGGAAAATGAGTCAACCTCCCGACAAAACGCCCCAGTTTCGTCATGTATTCAGGGATGGTTTTCTCCGGCGGGGTTTCGACGCCTGGATGTCTTCCATGGATACAGAGCCTAAGTGGCAGGCGATGGTCAGCCATGTAGACGCTGACCAAAAAGAAGTCTATACTCGCTTTAACGTACAGCTACAAGATATTCCCGATTCTATTGACAGTATTGAGAGCATGGATGAATATCGCAACCTGGTCATTCTTCAGACAGGCAGTGCCAGAGTTGCCAAAGACATCGCCATCGGATGGCTGGTCGCCCGATTTTACTTCGTCTTAGACCTCGCGCCTGAAACAAGCACAACGCCGTTCTGGTGCCATGGTACGATCCGGTGTAAGGGAAACGCAACCCACATAGTAGCCGCTCTCGAGCGTCTCTGGTCCCAACGAGTCGACTTCACAACTGATAGTGATGCCTTGGGCCGCTTCAATGGTGTTGAGGATATTTGCTCTTCCTGTAGGCGGTACCGTAAGCCAGTTTCTATTCTAGTGCATCACTTAGAGGAGTCTGTGAGCATCCACTTGCAAGCTGGCAGGCAGAGACGCTGGAGGATAAATGGATTTCCGGAATGCATGCAGTCGATCATCACAAAACAAGAAATGTGCGCGGCATTCGGCCGAACCACACATGATCGCCCCACTGCTGCAACCTGCTCCAAGTGCGATTCCTACGAAATCTCGCTTCGAGGCAAGCGCAGAAAACGGGATTCAGAATTGCCCCACAGTGGCCAGGGGATCAAGAGAGTTTGTATCAATGTGGGGCAGTTTCGGGCGGATTAGCAGTCGACGGAATGGTCGGTCTAACTCAGAGCAGAAATTGTAGTAGAACTATTAGTTTTACAAAGATAGATTATTATTTCGAATCTAGACTTTTTTTTTTCTTTTTTTTTTTTTTTTTTTTTTTCCCCTTTTTTTTTTTACACCACGCTTCCAGTAAAGGGGCTAATAGTGGTTCCTGCCGGAACCGGGACATCCAGTCGGACCGAAGCCCCACGCTACTACTTGGGCATTATAAAGGAACTGCACTTGGAATAACCCCGGTGCTAGTGAGCATCATTATCCAGACTTCTTTTCCTCCGCCCTGCTGACATGGGAGGGCCAGACCCAGGCAAATCCGACCGCGATAAATTCTGGAAGCGGAAACAAACGCTGATAAACAAAGCATATGAGATGGTGGAGTTATGCCATGCCAATGTCTACCTAATCATAGAGCATCCCAGAGGTACCACTATATTCAACTCGGTGGACAACAATTCTTGGCCACCGCCAGTAGGAAGTTCGGTATGATTGAGTCTTATAATCAGATAAGGATTTGTCACTAAGATTATACACTAGCAGGATCAATACACCCTGCCATTGAATGAGACGTCCTTCACACGAATCCAGAATGAACGTCTAAGGGATGAGCTAATGCAATGGTATCAGTTCATCCAATACCGAGCCGAGCTGAGGCAACCGTCTTTGGAATCACAGACAATGTCTCCTGTAGAGGATGAAAGTCAGACTTTATCCACGCAGGATATCTAGTGAAATTCAATTAGTTGTTAAAGACAATATTCACTGTCACTTCATGGTGCGGGTCCGCGGCCGAGTAACATTGGATCAAGAGCTCTTTCGTGATAATCACAGACAGCAAGAGACCACATGGTAGTTTCATCGGAATGTCCCAAAAAGAACATATGTAATTCATGGAATGGAATTCAGACGATGTATATTGGGAAGTGTACCAGGCAGAGAATACGATGGGACCAGCAATCATCGGATCCCAAGACATTCTGCAATACAAAAGCAATTTCTGTAGAACTAAAGTCTAGATTGTGCCACTCCATTTTCGAAGTCTGGAGGATCACCCGCTAATACTAACCCAATACTAGCTAAGCCGAGAATATTAAAAAGGCTGTGTAGAAAGTAAGAATTGCTTATAGACTTTAGAGGTCTAAGATGGAAGAGCACCTATCTAGGATAAGCAATGAAAATCGCAAATATTGGAGGGTAATATGTCGCAAGCGTCTTTCACAACATATCTGTATGTTCCTGGCAGTGGATGATATTCATAAAACTTTCTAACAGATCCGCTTAGGGGAAGCACTGGGACTGAGAATTGACCCCTCTGAGGTGCGCCTCAAAACTGGTGAACCGACCCAATATCTGTGGAAAATCGATGACAGTTCCCTTCAACCTCTCTTTGAGAAACATCTCAGTAAGCATTCTGTGGGTGCGTACAAGCAGTTGTGCCAGGGGGTAGGGGAAAGCTTCTATGCCATTCGGTCAGAAACTACTGATAAAGTACTGTGCTAGTACCGCCCATCGCTACTAGTCTTGGTACTGAAACTGACTATATGATTGCTAGGAAAATGTCCAACTGAGTCTCAGTGATCGGGTGCAGACACTGCAGCGGGAAAATGCAGAGCTCACCCAAATACTAGCAAATTGGATGGAACGAGTATCGTCATTGCAAGATGAGAAAACGGTTGCAGAAGAGAAGATTTGCGTCCAAGAGTCTACTATCACAGAGGCTCAACAGACAATAAGTCATCTTCAACAAGATGTCCAGCAATGGGTAGCAGTAGCTGAATACTACCAACTGAGATGTATGCACTGTTCTGAGGCCTTGAAGCAGACCATTATCTCTTTACAGGCACTCGAGTCTACAATGAATCTGCCTCGGTCTACTTGAGAATCCAGTAAAACATATGAATGAGTTATATTGTTGACATTAGGAGATTACGCTGCATATCTATATTTCTGTAAAGAGTACCGTAATTATTATAGATACAATTATAAGATAGGACAATGGTAAAGGACCAGATGATGCCGCTGCTAGTTGTGGGACATGTGATTGAAACACTGTCACGGTTTCTGTACCAGAAAGAATGAAGCTGCTAGGACTTTTCTCAGGAATTGGTGTATATACGAGGAGTGATGTAATATAGTCAGCGTTATTGTTATGCCGTTTAAATACTGGTTGTGCTGTAGTAATGGTCAAGCCTTTGCACTGTAGGCTTTGCAGTCCCGGTAGTTCCGAGGTAGTAGACTGCATAGTTACACTCATCTTTGCGGTCATGTAGTGGTAGTAACTGGTACAGAAACTCTTTTAGTGCGTAATTTGTAGGATACGGTGAATTGAGACTTACCACATGTAGGAGGAGATAGATATCCTTAAGAACCTAAACATATCAGTATCAGAACAAACAAGCCAAGATTACTGTGGGATTTATCGATTCTCGTGTGACCTTAAATCATATGATAGAGTATGCTAGGCAGCCATCTATCACTTTCAGCGTGGCTGCGCGCCTTTTTCGACAGAGGATACTCAGTACTATATAAAGTGGATATATCCACATCACATAGTAGAGAGTTATTGGAATGTTATAGGCATCAGTGCAGAGTACTCAGCATCTATCCAACTTTTCTACCATTGGATACTAGACTTCGAATATCTTTGCTATCAAGACCATGGGGTCCAAGAAGAAGAATCGGAAAGCTTCCCGAACAAAGCCTTATCAACTACCACAGCGACAGGATCCTATTGCGGATGATGATAATCATGAAAGCGGTGACGATGTTAACAGCAGTCACGCCTACCAGAACAACCAGAGCAATCAAGACCATCAGGACGAACAAGGCAGCCAGAATAGCCAGGAAGACTTAGAAATGATGGATGTGGAATTTACAGAGGGCCCTGATGATCAACCTCCAACTGCTACAATGCGCCGTCGCAAGAAACCCGGGATATCGGAGTGGGTCAATAAAATCAGAGAAGGGTTCTATGCAAAATACAGTGATCAAATCGAAGCTGAGTTTCGGAGACGTGATCCTCAATTTTCGAAGATTGAATCACTGATTCGACAAGCAAACCGGGCTATTCGTGCAGAGAATAAAAAGCACAATGTAGGCATGGAGCTTGGAACTATACCTGAAGGCCACTATGACTTGACATGGAGACAATGGCAAAAGCTTAGAGAGCCGGGGAGAATCAATGGTTCAATGAGACAGGAATGGATATTGTTTGACAGGGTACAGAACCTTTTTCACCAGTTCAACAAGCAGAATCAACTTCCTCTGGAATGGAACTTTTCCCGTGAATACGCAGAGGAGCAATTTGGTCCCCGACCAGCAGATATGGAAGAACAGCTTGACTCTGATGCAGATTCGGCATTTTCATACTCCGATCCTGAGTCCGAATCAGAGGCTGAAACTGAGGATGGTCTTAATGGACTAGAGCTTTTGGAAATCAGAACGCGAAAAGAGTACAGCACCTTGTCACATGGCAAAGTGCTATACTGGTGGCCAGTGGGGACCGGCAGTCAGATTTTTGTTCGGTATGGAAGTAGGCAGTGCCCCATCTATCGGATTCGCGCGGGCTCTTCACAGCCATGGGATAAACGAACCACGGAACAGGTCTCGTGGACGACTCCTGGAACCGCGACTGAAGAATACGAGGATATCACAGGCTTCAAGAAATTGGTCTATATGAAGTCCCGTAGGGACGTTCAAGATGTTCTCGGCGTGGGTTGGAAAGTCCCCGAAGATGATGACCACAAACGGCGTGCTGCTGTGCTAGAGCTTCGGCCAAAGAAGGAGACATACCCCCACACCAGGATCCTAATAAAGTGGGCGAATGGTCAAGTATCGTTGGAAAGACGGGGATTCATAAGACGGATTACTGCTGGTAGTAGCCTGTATGGAGACTGGACTATCTATGCTAAGGCTCGGGAAATGGAAAGGGCGTACTGGGGTCATGACCCGGAAGACTACGGCAACCCCGAGGACTACAGTGACAGAGCTACTACAGACAGCGACTCGGATTCGGCCACCTCGGTATTCTCTTATGACGGCCCCCGGACTCGACAAGCCAATGTCTCCCGCTCGAGGAAGCGTCGTGGGAGAGCAAGACAGCCTAAGATCGACTCTGATTTCCCAAATGATGATCCTGCGGGTTCCGCAAGTAATAAACTCAGATACAGGGATATTGAGATGCAAATTAGCCTTCTAACAAAGCAATTAAAGAGGTTGCAGGCCGGCAGGCACCATCGATAGATGCGGTCAGTCTAAAGCAAGCAGTAACCGGCAACCTAATGGGTTCATAGCAGGTTTCTCGATGGTAAAGTTTTGTTTTATAGTTCCTTTTGAATATACAGTTTAGATAGCTACTAGAAAGAGACGATTACAGATGAGACTGGTAATATTAAACCAAGATCAGCATTATTCTTCAAACTACATTACTCTTATAAGTCCAAAACAGACGTCGTAATGATCAATCAAAAAATATCCTAAAACTCTAGCGAAATTATCGGAAGAAGTAAACTAAGTACTAGTGGACCTAGTTATTCTGGGTGCGTTGTGGGCCTCTTCGTAGTAATGTCCTTACTGTGGAGTATATGCATAAACATATCTTCTTAGCTCGATAGCTATAAAGAGAGGCATTAAGCCCAGTGTTTTGCAACTTCTTATTCATCTTATATATATCCAGGCAATACATACAGCTACCCTGAATAAGCCCACCAAATACGAGAGTTTAAGACTTCATGATCTTGGTCTATGGTAATGGATCGAACCACAGATGTCAATCACAGGGATACAGTGTATGTACTGTACTTCAGACTCAAATATACACACTAATTAAATTATTAGTCCGGTGCTTAGCAATGGTTGTCCCTCATTCTTACAGACGTATGTGATAGTTCAATGATAGTGATATAATTATGAGCTGAGCGCGATGTAACAGGGACTTCAGATATGAAGCCTGTAGTGCAGGTGTGATCCAGAAGATTGACACCTGCATTATTCTGGTGGACGACCTGGCAAAACTTGTCACTCAATTAGTTGGGAGCACGCGTGAGCTGAAGAAAACTGAACAACAAGCCAGGGATAAGTTCAGAAATCTGGTGAATGGCTCTGGGCGCCTTACGTCATGAAGCACTAAAGGTCATGATCGATTAGGTATATGGAAAACTCTGAATGGGACTTGTCTTTGTCATTTGTTTATACAATGTTAATGTTGGCATGCTCAATCATACTCAAAAAGGAGTTATTCGTAAACATCTGTCGCGCGCAATGTCCGCAAATTTCCTTGATGAACTCTCTTACTGATTCAACTCTTGGCAAGCATGAAGAGTAACAGTTAGATCCCTAGTAATAAAATATTTCCTTACTTGACAATGATAACGCTAGATTCGGGTAATCCTCCAATGGTTCATTGCCTCATCATAGAAATACCAGATCCGGGATAGTCTCGGATGGAAAATTTCTCCACCAAAGCAAGGAATATGATCGGCAAGCGGACCTAACCTTTTGGTCTCTTTTCCCACTCCAAACCTTGTACCCACCAGCATCTCCAACTCTTCCGACTCCGTTTCCGACTCCGTTTCCGACTCCGTTTCCAGCGCTGGTTCCCCGGGTCAGACGATAAGACTAACGCATTTTGCGTGTTGAACATTACCTAATTCAGCTTAACGCTATAGAATGACGTGACGTAGACTACTGCTCAATATGTATCTAGTGTATTACTGAACTTTAACTCATCCATGGATTCTGAATGATTAATAATAATCACCTAAAGTTCGGATTTATTATTCGGCGCTAGTGAGGAGGGTTGCCACTCCGGTTTCACTGCGGACTATCCAATGATGGTTTCACCAACCACCCAATGAAAGCAATAACTACAGAACGGTGATTATAGACAAGGTGTCTCATAATGCGGCACAAACTGCCTATAGTAGTATAATAGTTGGTTTAGAACTAGATTGGAGGTAGATAGATCCAATATACTGAAAATGGAGTGGCTATATCACTATAGTTTATAAAGCACAATATTCTGCTACTACTTGATCCCTTCACAAGACTGTTTTCGAAATTTTATTCAAAATGTTACACATAAGTTTTTTTATAGTGACCCAAGTCATACTTAATGTTACTCATGTGAGGGCATGGATACAGGTAATCTAACTGTATGAAAAAATCATATAGTTTCGTTAACAATGACAAATGTAGAGTTTGGAAGTTATGAATATCGAGACTGGTTTACGAGCTGGACAACCAGGATATATGCGAAACTTTAGTATGTTCATCTATAAACATCTTCCATCGATACTTACAGTGCAATATAGCCCCGGCTATGGCCTTCCTTCCATACAACCAAATGCTTGATGCCAACCTAGAACTGAATTTTTGTATGGAGACTCAGCGTATACCACTGCAGCACAGCGAGTGGCCTCGCTTAGAAGCACAGCCCGGTGCTATTATTTGCCCCCGCTATCATCAGAACGCTTCAGTTCAAGGTGAGGTTCACTGGTATGGTACGAATAATAGCGAATCCCCTGATAGCAGAAGTCTCTCGGATATATTAGAATTTGCCGAGAATAATGGGAAGGGTATGGACTGTATTTCAGGGTCAGAGGCATATACTCATGATTTGCTAGGTCTAGAGCTGCCACAGGATAAAAGTGATATTTGTTCTGGTAGTTTCCAGATTCCATTCGAGATCTATGCTACAAACACTTTCGTTGTTTATTGGATGTTGAACACAACACAAAAGATTGATGGTGGCTTTCTGGTATACTCCCTATGAAGAACTGTTCTTTATTCTTTCTAATGCTGTTCTGATCAGCTATATGCCTCTTGTTTTGATATCCTGATTACACGTGGACAGGGGGATGGTGATGTTACAGAGCCGAACATCTCATTAAACAATTCGGAAGCAAACAACGTGAACAGTGACCAAAGTGGCTCGTATACGGGACAGTCCGCAGAATGGGTACGCATATCTAAATCCCAAGCATATATCGCTTTATATTCACTCTTCACTAGACGCAATCATCTCTTCTGGCTACCAGCCGAGCAGATATAACCACGTTGGAAACAGGTGCATGTTGGTCAGCAAGTACAAGTACCACCACGGTAAATTCTCTTAGAACAGGAACAACGATGAGTGATTCTTCATTGGACATGTCCTTTCCGATATTTTCAGCAAGTCATAGAGACAGTTTCCCATCCTCAGGGCAACACTTCGGGACATCATTATCAGGACTAACTTCTATATCAAACGCAATGACTACGACAATAGGTGATAAGCAGGCAAGTTTGACCAAGCAAGGTTCTATGATTGCGAATACTATCTCTAAAGCTAGCATCTTGAGAACTACGTCACCAATGTCCACCAACTCTACCAGCTCTACCAGCTCTACCAGCTCTACCAGCTCTACCAGCTCTACCAGCTCTACCAGCTCTACCAGCTCTACCAGCTCTATCAGCTCTATCAGCGATACAGCTTCTACTAGTAGAGCCAGCAGCAGTAATGTAGGATGGGGTGAAATTCTAGACTCGAGCTATAAAACAGATTTTTATTGCTCTTTCACCGAATTTTGTTCCCGCCCGGCAATAACCACATCCTCCCTCAAGTCAGCTTGCGGAAAGCTTGTCCAAAATGGGTATGCTCCATTCCAACGTAATATCATATGATCATTAGTACCGACGTATAATCTAGGTGCACGAAAACTGATATTAAAAGTGATGATTATTACGGGTCATTAATGTTTATACCTAACAAAAAGCTGGCCTCTTGTGAGGACTCGGCACCTCTAACTATAGAAGGCTGTGAAGCTGGTATATTACATGCAGCTGATTATATAAACAGTCGCTTAGCTTCAAAAGGTACCCTTGCTTGTACAGGCTCTCTTGATCTGGCAAATAAGAAGGGCGAAACAGCAGGGATATTCAGTCTAACTGGGATATGTACACCTGACTATCTGTAATGAAGGTATCGGGGTTCATTATGCACCTGCGACCAGCACGCATTATAGGAATGTGTTGAATGGCTGCGGCCTGTCTATAGCCATGCATGTATTTCACCTTCAAAAACCCATTTCATGTTTAGAAAGGCATTAATTGAGGCCTAATAACCGATATAGAGAATCTATACGTTTCTTGTGAAGCCCACATGTGTGGCTGTTGTGACCTCTGGCGCGCAGCCTGAGGTGGGTCACCAATATGTAGACGACGGCTCATACGGGGTACTTCATGTAACATAATCTCTGCCTGCATAGTAACTGGATTCGTTTGGGATTTCCCGGTCAGACTCAATTTAAAACGTGTCAGCCTACAGAGTGCTGCGCGCCGTTTCCTTATCTGCTAGTTGTAGCTTAAGTGGGTAAGCTATGTAGCTATATTGGACCCCCAAGCCGCATGTATGATGCTAAGAAACAAGAAAACAAGATGCGAAAAGAAAAACAGTCATCAGCTGATGAGAAACCTGATCTTTATCAGGTTGAGTCATTTACAACTATCGAAACCCGTTATATGCAAATGCTCCTCGAATTAGACTATATCCCCTGGTTCTATAATATTCTCGCAGGTGCCGGTCATTAGATTCTACTTGCTGGATATCTTGTGGTCCCAGGCACATTTACCTCTCTTCAGGAAAAAACAAAATCTTTGGATAATGATCATATGAAGGAGAGTGTTGAAGCAACCATTATCAATACTATCAGGAATCCACCACTTCTTGCAATATCCTGTTTTTGCCTTACATTGGGTGCTACTATTATGATATGGCTCTCATGGAAAATAAGAAATAACTATATCTGGCTGGTGAATAAGTTATTCATGTGAGTCCGGTACATAAATTAAATAAAAAGTGTAAAAGCTCACAATCAGGCAGACCAACACTACTGAATGCTATGGCAGGACTTGTTAGTACGATGGTCAATATATATACAGCTCAAAGCGGTGCTTGGTCAATTATGGCCATGATGACTGTGATTGCAACTGGTCTTACCATGGCAGTGTCCATAGGTCTGACTATCGCATATAAACTCTTCAAACTGGAAACAATAAAGCGAGAGCATGAAGCCGAAATCAAGGCGGGTTTTCATAGAGTGTTGCCCAAACCAAGCGAGAGTATACAGAGATAAGAGGCCGAATTCTCTCAGAAGACTATTTTCCTGAGTCTGAAGATGAATATCATCTGCAGGCTAGAGAAAGGGTAAGGATGAAGCTGACTGCTGCACTGAATGAGTCTGCACTGAAAAGCTGTTTCGATATTACAAGGATCTGTGCTAGAAGCCCAATTATCTTTGTTATTATAGCAACTGGAGCGGTGGGCAGGTTACTTTATAACATATGTGCTCTGGCTGCGTTGGTCAGAAGTCAGATCAGAATAATAATGCCCTGGGCGCCAAGATAAAGGTTTACTGCTTTGCCTCTCGCTTAAATCTATCTGATTAGATGTATTAGAGATCTTGCTTAGATCTACATATCCACTGTTGTGATCCCCGTTCCTTTTGCCTCTGCTCTATTGAATTCTGATGTTAAATCTTTCTTTCTCCTTATTACAGGCCAGTGAACGGCGTGGCACAGATTCCCTAGATCTTGCTCTCCTAGCCTACTCTCTTGTTTTCCTCGATAGTTTGTTGATTCATATGGTCTTCGAAAAGCAGTTTTACTGCTTCAGAGAGTCGATCTTGATTAATACTGTCCCAATCTGGAGCCTTCGAGTTGAGTTTAAGCAGACTACTCCAGACGCCAACAGCTAAATATGGCAGGATATGCTGTGATGTTCAACATTCTTGTGCTAAGATACCTGGCTCTGACATGTAACCCTCTAGGTGCACATGTACATAAACAAAAGAATGAAAATCATAACTAGGGATAAAGAAGCAAGAGATTCATCAGGAATAGCTAACGGTCTAACTCGCAGGAGATCACAGATGAGCCATTTATTAACCCATGCAAGCTCAAAAGGGCTGCTAGTAGCCCCATCCTTGGTTCGCCCCAGGTTGCGTTGGCAAGGCTGGAACGACCCAGCACCCGGGCGTCGGCGGTTGGGCAACGCTGTCAGAGTTGGGAATAATTCCCACTGGATAGTGCATGAGATTCTCTGACATGCCATGGCTGGCTGTGGATCTATAATCCTGAGAAATAGAATAGGTTCCTCTAAAGGAGGGCGTCCAGGGCGCATATTGGCTGACAAAGTTCTGTGATGGCGCTGCTGTTAAGCAATACTCGGCACTGCTGGCATCCGGAAAGGTCGCCTGGGCCAGGCAGTTGATTGAAGTCTGTTCAGCAGGTGTGCTCAGTCCTTGGGTCGTGGGTGCCTCAATAAAAGTATTTGAGTAGTGGCTATAATAATTATTGGATGGTGTGACGCATAATCGGTCCGGTCTCTCCGACTCATCGAACTGATTTCTGTCTTCTACTGTAGTAGGTACAGACATGTCGTTGGGTTTGGCGGAGAATGGTGATTCTTGTGCACCTGAAGGAGAAGGATTCAAGTCTGCTTTCTTCAACTCTCTTAGCTTCTTTGGCTGGGATCTTGGCTTGAGCTTGGTGACCGAATCTGTATTCTTTTTACCATTAGAGGGCAGTGTGCGGTCTACCACGAGTAGGACCGTTGATGGATCTAGACACACTTTAGATATATTTTCTATAAAGAATCATTCATTGGAAGTCTGTGGCCACTTACCAATAGCTCTATGCTCATATTTTTCCTCTATCTTCCGTACGTTGAGGATCTCCTCGATAATAGCAAACTTCTCCGGATCTTTCAAATTTAATTTACAGCTATATGCAATTTCCAGAAGACGGTCTGCTGTAATATCACTTCGGCCCAGTTTACACATAATGTGGACTATAAGGCCGATTCTTTCTGTCATATTCTGTAAGCATCAAGTGTTTATATATAAAGGAAACTAATAAAGTACCTGGTTTCGACAGGTGATCTGGCTCACGGTGTCTAATATCACGTGGCCACCACTCAGGCTTTGTTTTTTCTGGGTCGCCTTTGGTATTGCAATCCTTTGGATTACCCCCGTTGTAAGGATGCTTCGTTTGCTTGCACGGCTCAATAAACTTGATAAAAGCCTTTAAAATGACGCGGCAGTTGACCTGCTTGAAGTATTTCAAGGAGTCTGCGTAGTACTGTTTCAGTCGATCAGTTTCACTGATTTTGAGCCCGATCCTGTCATCTTCTGCACCCGGTAGCGAGCTGGGTAATTCAGATCCGGATGTTGGCATGACCGGAACAAAGTCTTTGGTATTGGCCCTACGCCTCTTCTTGCGGAGGTGGTAAGATGCCTTCTCCAAGCAGTCATAGCTGGGCGTAGCTAGATTGAGGCCTATGTTTATTCGATGTTAGACAGTTGCAAAGTATGTTGGTAAAGTAAAGGAAAAGTACGTACTGTCAATTGAATGATTTTTATATCCAGTCTTTACACCAATGATTTCCAAAAATCTATCACGCACTTCAGGGGTAAAGACAGTAGTATGATGGTCTTGGATTGAAGAAGACTCGACCACCTGGGGTTCACCGTTGTCATTCAAGAAAATCAGGGAATAGTGAGCATAAGGCAGGTTGGTCGGTGTACACAAAAAAGAAGATATAACCTTTTAGATCATTAATATTAGTATATAGATTCTACCTTATGTTCGAGATACTTACTGGATCACTGTTCCATCTGATTTCACTTTCCATGGTGGACGGAATTTCCCTGTTGATACCAGCCATCGTATTAAGTACTATTTTTGCTCTCATATGGAGATTCGTACAGGTTTAGGGGCTGTGTGTGTGTTAGGGTTCCTGAAATCAACTTAAGATAAGACGGTTGAATTCTCTGATGCTGAATTGAAAGGATAATAGACAGATTGAAGTGTACACTTCAAAGGAAAAAGGCAAGTTTCTGGGAGACGTGGGTAGTGCATTCTACTTGTATACGTAGCCCGTGACAGCAAGTAATAGATCGAGATAGTCTCTATGGAAAAAGTAATATCGATCTACATTTTTAGTGTAGCATGGTTCCCCTCCCCGAGGCCATTATCTCGAGATCTCATTGGTATCGCGCCGAGGGCGTGTGGTTGGGTTGTAGTAAGATGGGTGATCCATGGTTGCATTAGGCCGAAACACGAATGGACAGCGGCTACTAGTATTTCAATCAGATATGACCAATGTAACAGAGACAGCTGCGCCTGGTAATGATCAGAGGGTGGAGCAACATGCATGTTATTCGGAGTAACAAGACTTATCTAATGCCCTGCGTGATATTCTCTCAGAACAAAAGTACTCCATTTTTATTACATGTAATGTATTGTCACTCAAAAACCCGTCTAGTTGGTCCTATGTGGGACCGACTGAGGTATGGAACAATCCACTTAACACGATTTGTAATATCATTCGAGATCGACTTACCTTTGAGATAACGCCGCCGATACGCAATGGCGTCGAGTGGAAGTTTCCCGAGATCTGATCCAGTGCGTTTTGAATATACTCGCCCAATCTGTATCAGCAATAACTCCTTATGTTACTTACCGTCGTCTGAAGCAGTTAATTGATTCTTTAGTTGCAAAAGCAGACTATTCCTCCCCCGACCTTCCAGTGTTCTACCAACAATACGCGTGCTCACAGACCATAGCCCATATCACCAGATCCGCTTGGCTTAACCAATGTGCACTCGCCCTTAAATCATGTGATTGAGTGCTTTTACATAGGCAACTGGTCTCACAGGGCCCTGGAAAAGCTGATAATATTCAGCCAGCACTCGTCCAGCGGACCGGAGATCGACGCCGCGGAACGCAGAAGGCAGTCTTACCTCAGCTCATGCCAACTGCATCCCCGGCTAATTATGGTTCCAGAGTAAGTTCTTGCCGCCCAGGGGCGCGGGTAGGGGCTCTGGATGACATGATAAGATACACTAGTTCTATAGGGTCTGTGCGGTGACGCTTAAAATGGTAAATATGAAGAGGCATCTTTAGATTACAGAGTAATATTTATAAGTATAAATTCACAGTACTGTAATTGGGCATTGTTTGTCTTTTTCTAGTCTACATTCTGACAGGGCTGGGCGAAAGAATAGGAGAGTAACGGTTATCCTTTTATAACAGGTGCACCACAGTGCCGTCTCCCGTGCCAGGGTGTAATCAATAGCAATGGCCATAGTTTCATTATCCGATGATGTACTTCTTTGACTGACTGAGGTATTAGAAAGCTTAGACCGGCGGCTGCCATGCAGTCTCTCTGGATGATGTTAGACTCTGAACAAGAATTTCGGGCAGGATGAAAAGATTTGATGGTACTAACCTATACGGCTCCAACAGTCCGTCCCAGATTTCAGATAAGTAATCACCGAAAAATCCGCATTTTGCAAGTATGCAAAAGAGAATTGGAAACAGCACTGCAGCTAGTGCGTACATAGTAAATGCGGCGAGGATGAATTTGTGGGATGTTGTAGGTTTAGTAAATGGTCAGGGAGCAAGGAGCAAGGTGTGTATAGAGATGTACAAAAGGCTTTTCCACTAGCTTACTACTAGAAATACCCATGTTAATGGGAGATTAGTAATGGAGGATTCGCTGGTCACTGGCATGCATAATCGCATATATCGCTTGCCGATGACTTGCTGATGTTAAGTCGGGACTTTCCCCTTGGTATGTCCGACTAATTTCGCGTCAATAGTCTAAAGTTATATAGAACACTTGTGGTAGATTCCCAATCCCATTGTTGTACTAGTTCCAATCCGCCAGGCTCTCTCGGTCCTGGGAACACGACCCAACCAGACCTGAAGGTAATATAACTCTACGCTGAGCGTAAATTGAACAGCCACCAGTGTAAGGCTTTTACGGCGGGCATAATCAGGGTAGAATTAGCCCTTTAATTTTCAATTAGTATAATCTAAAAGGTAGCCACCCATAGCATCCCACCGGTCTGCGTGCCGTCGCTGTGCCTCGATCGGAGTTGATGCGAGTATTGACTAGTCTAACTCGCATTGGGCTAATCAGAGGCAAACACGGAGGCCTAGAGGGACATAACTCCGCGCTATACCACTTCTAGTAAGGTTTGCCTACAACAATGATTATTATAATACATACTGCAATCACCCAAGGAACATGCCAGTGCCCTTTCGGATGTATATGCATAACTCCGGTTGAGCATCCCAATTCTGTATCTACCGTAAATAGAAATAAAATATAAAATAAATAAAAAGTCACTCATATACATTTACCAGGCAGTTTTTCGGCTTTAATAGACGCTGCACCCCCCGGCAGTAGCGTCTGTAACAGTTCCTAATCACGTCCGGGATCTCTACGCTTATTCTTCTCTGCTATTGTGTTGCTTATTTGCCTGCAAGCTGCTATAGTCATATAGTCTGTCTTTTATGATGGAAAACGTCGCCGACTCACTTGATTATATCGGGGTCCCACTCAGAGGGTCTATTGCTTATTTTCGCGCATGGCTCGGCTTCCGACATCCGATTATCGAGATCCACCAATATATGGATGGCAGCTACCTGTTTGAAGCATTCCTTTCAGTCCATGAGAAGAAGAGAATGGAGGAAGGCTTTATGTCAGGGTCTATATCCAGTTCGTATCTACAAATGACTGGGCCCAGGTTTGAGACTGGGGATCCTCTCCTGCTACTTGGCACAAAATACCAAGCCAAGTACAAGCTCAAGTCAGCCTATCTCGCGTGGATCAAGGTTTCATTCGATCCATTGAGATATCACATGGTTAAATACCTAGAAACTCTGGGTATTGAGGTTCACATGGACCAGAGGCACCCGCACCGAACGGATGATTGGTGCTGAAGATGTCAAGTTCAAAGTGAAACAAGCACAGTGTACGTGGGGCTTTATGGAATGGAATTTATCAAGCAACATTTGAAAGCGTTGTGCCAGCAGTCAATGAGTGTGACATACACACCCTTCAATGAACCCCCTTGTCAAAAATAAGAGCCTCGCCGCAGAGATATCTCTCGTTCTCTCTTTCAGTATCACAGGAGCAACGATTCTATGGTGATCTTCTTTGGTACCGCTGCCTCTTCTGGACTCCGGGGTAGCGAGGCAGTTATATGAGAATTTGAATGGCAATCAGTTTTGCTCACCCGTGCTGTATACCTGATTAGTAGATTAAAAAGAGCTTTAGGAGGATTGATACTTACTAGTATCTTCCTTTTTCTTCAAGCAACGACATATGAATCTGACTATTGATTTCATTTCCCTATTTGTTATTTTGCTCCTTGGCCGGAAATTTCTGACAGTCACAGTGTCATAGAATTCATAGGAATTGAGCATGTGAGTTAGGACCTTTATACGATCTTGCCGTCTATTAACTCTCTGCCACAATTTTGTAATCGCTGGTATACTCACCCCTTTTATTCAGTCCAGACGGGCGGATGTATGCAATTTCAATAGGCCACCAATGTGGTTTTGGTAGCTCGCAATTAAAACGGAGATTAATCCCAAAACTCGTCTCAGGGTAGAGATGTCTTGCCAGCATATAGAGAAGCTTTGGAAGAGTCGAAGAGTAGAACTTGGAGAAGAAGTCCTCTAAGGGACTTGTAGCTTGCCAGTGACCCATGAACAAAGAAAATTGTGTCTGGATAATATAATGGGCTTCCAAGATCAGCTTTCCCTGTCTAATTTTACTGCTTGAGAAGCCGACTTACTTATAAACTCAAGTTCCAGCTTCAGTGGCAGCGGACGAAAAACCTATCCTTTTCGGGATCCCAAGTATTACCGACCCTCGAGGGTTAGAGCCTGGCACACTTACGGACTTATTTGCGCTCTAAGGATACAAAGGTGGAAATGAAAGGTACTATCCTCTATCTGGCAGCTTGATGATGGCAAAAGTCCAAGGTCTGGATATTGCTCACATGAAACCTGCTGTAGGAGATAATCCTCCTACGTGTTATTCTAGTATACTATTGGTTACTAGGCCTCCACAACGACGTGATCAGAAAATATAAAAGACAGAAAAAGTAAAATACGAAATGACATGTATGATGTGTTACTACAATAAGCGCCAGCCTCCTTAGACGAGACCGCGTAGCTTCCCCTCTAAGATCTTCTGTATCAATGTGACTAGTGGTATTGACTGTACCCTTGTCGGTTCCAGTATTTGGTACCAACAGAATGTCAACTCGCTACGTTGATACTGCTCATTGGGTAATGTTGATGCTGGCTCAAGTGTAGGCAAACCTTGCCGGTTCCGGAATAGTAGGGCGGGCATCCAATAACAAATACCAAGAACATGATAACTAAGTTCAGACTCCTCACATGGGTACTTTTCTTAGCCGGAGACAGCCGTTCGATTTCACAACTCTCTGTATTCGTCCGTCCTCTAAGTCGCGGTTTCTCCATTGATCCACTGAACTCAGGTGACTCCTTTCGCAGCCACCTCATTCCGCATATCTTCCCCTATCCAGTATGATGGTGAGACAATCTAACGCTGTTCGTTCAATATCTGCCCCAGAATTGTTAGACTTCAATCATGGGAAATTAAACGAGCTTCAGGAATTTTTGGAAAATGACCAGACAGCCGAGTTACAAACTATTACTCAGGTACGTGGTGACACAAACTGCAGAATTAGGTACCTCCTAGAAGGAAGCGGCGGCGAAGAAAGCGGCGGCGAAGGACGCAGTCTGCCTGCAAGGATCCTCTTTATGCGGCTCCTTACAGTCATCTACCTTGCTACTAGGTACGAGACATGGTTACAATTTTTTGAAGGATCGCCTGCGATCAGCTTTCCGTCCGGCCGTCCAAAGAGGCATGGTTATTGCCAACAATTTATACGTGAAAACGATCTCCCCCCTCGAGCTAAGAATTGGATCAGCTGTGGCCAAAAGATTCGTCGGATTGAGAAGGAGGTTGGGATGCCAGGAATCTCACTCGCCCTTATGTTTTCGCTGCCCAAGTTCCCACTCTTCCCCGAACATCAGGTCACAATATCGATTGACCTGTTGAGAGATGGACACTATCCACGAATACTGGCTTTCGCTACTTCCATCTCGGAAATATATTGGATCTACACTCTTCGATACCAGCAATTAATTGGTTTGGACGTCCCGTGAGAACTCTGTGATTTGTTCTAACGATGTTGATTGATTTAGACACGGTATCCGAAACCCCACCACATCTTCTCCAAGCATTGACGATTCCACGGTAGCCACATAGTGCGCATCCATATCTTCTCTATATCTTCATGAATGGGAGTCCTTTGGGATTCTCGATATCTTCCAGCATTGGATGCACCGAAAATCCTTGCCAGACCATTCGAGTACTTCCCTTCGGCGAAAGACGTACATAGAGTCCTCCCTCTACGAATAGACATTGTTCCGGATCGACAACAACTTCGTGCGCATCTTTTCCTTCGCTTTTCTCAAATTCTTGATCCGTTTGGTGATGAGACAAGGTATAGAGTTTGAACAACCCATTATCCCACTTTGCGGGCTTCTTCAGCGGACGGAATACGGATATAGCGTCACGTGACGGATGTGCTCTCATCATGTGCTCAGCCTCCTCGTTGTCTTTGAAGTCGATAATTGCAGGCCCCTGCTTGATGATATGCTTGAATGCTATGCCAAATCGTTGCTCAAGAATGTTGCGAAACCACTACCATTCTTAGTCCAGCCTAATCAAAATTTGGGAGACGTACCTGACGGTCTGACATCAGAAATGCTTTGCACTCATCCCCTCCTTTGCAGTAATCAAACATGGGAGTGGAACACCGTTGGCTTTCTTCATACACCTTTTCTACTTCCGATATGTTTTCAGGTGATGGTGCTTCATCTCCTACACACAAATAGCCAAGCTGTTGCATTATGTGGCGAGCGAAGTCTTGTGGGATGAGCTGTGTCCCCATGGACAAGTTCCCTTCCGGGTAACCGCTCTCCATAGCCATTCCAACGATAGTGTGATGACTAATAAAGGGCGTGACAACGTAACCAACTAGTTCTCAGTATCTTACATGCGATATAAAAATGAACGCAGGTGGAAGCTGGCTGCACTTATGAAGAAGATCACATGGGTATAAAGACATGGAAATGCGTTCATTCTTTATTTAAAAGTGAAATTTTACGCAAGTGCAGCAAAGGACTACATTACAAAGTAGGCGAAGGCACAGATGAATGATTACACTGATTGTCAGAGATACGACATGCCAGGTGTTCGAGATACATCGCCCAATTGCCATGATGGGTAACTCATGCTGGACTAATGTATGTATGACAAGAGAATGTGCATAATGTATGTGTAGCTGATTCGGGGCATTGTGCTCATTGGCTCTCCTAAAATATAGCTGATTTAACAGGATTGACTTATGCCATTTCACAGGCCCTAGCCAGCTCTAGCTCGCTGAGTCTTCCTTCCTTGATCGGATCAGCGATATTATCCAAGTCTCCGAAATCCCAACAAGCATGTGCAACTGCAGCTATTGCTGGTTGCCCAATTCCCTTGAAGTCGCTCCAGGAGAGGCGGTCCCTGAACCAACCACAAACGTAGACGACCACGAGGCCGTCCGGCTCCCTCTTCACGCCAATTATGGTTATATACTAGTATAATGTTAGAGAAGGATATGTAGTATAGGTAAATCCCTGACCGTATCGCAGGAAAATCTACATTAGCTTTTTGATTTGGACAAGCAGCTCTTATTACAGGTCGCGAAACGACTAGACGAAGCCTGACTGGGATGCTAGGGTGTACATAAATTCATGAGCACTATCAGCCGGTGATTCTCAATTCCAAAAAGAATCCGTGTTTACGAATATCGGCCCATTCATCCTGTGGCAACAAGATCTGCCCCTACCTTCAATACGAATTATGAGAGATGGCTCTATGGAGTTGCCAAAAAGTACGCCTTCATATTTGCATGACTGGAACATGTCCAGGACCAGCATCGCCTCATCAACAACAAGTAAATCCCAGGGTCCCTGCTCGCGAGACGTACCTTTGAATTCATGTTAATAGGTTTTCAACATAGCCAAGAAGTACTTACTTCTTGTGGACGGGGGTCTGGTATCCCCCATTCTCTTAGATTTCAACCTGCTGAAAAGTGCCCTTGGTAGCGGCTGATCCTTACGTATCTCCAGTAGCACTGGCGTTTGAGGCATAGCCGGAGCACATGCAAGATACGCGGAATCAGGAGTCTGCGGAGAATTTGGTGGGTTTGGGATTTGTAGCGTCTTATTATCAGTCCAACCAGGCGAATTTAGTCGATATTCTCCACAAGGTGTAGGCTCTGTATCCAGGTATATCCTGCTGTCATTTCGCTCACTTCGCGGGTCATGCGAAGCTAGTACATTCCCGTCTGTGGTCATAACCTGGGCCATAGTCCCAGTCCGTCGAATCGTCTAAATCGCACGCGCTTGTGTAGAGGTTTTTAAGCCACCGTGGGATTATTGCATGCCCAGCTATACCAAAACAAGTCATTTGGTGCTATAGGAAGAGGTAATCTGGGAGAAGAAAAGAGAGGAACCAAAAGGTATTAAAACAGAAGCATTACAAGACCGAAATATCTGTGACCGAAGAACGTGTAGTAAGTATTCAAATTATCATCTCGGTCTAAGAGTTTGACCCTAGATCCCAGAGTAAGTGATGTTAAGATAGCAGTAGGCGAGAAGACTCCTGGGCCAAGGTATATGGTTCTGAGCGTCCACGTGCGGATCGTTCGGAATCAACGTAAGACTATGCACATTTGAGTCAAAAAGCTTATTAGGTTGCGTTCATTGTTTTACACTATTGGCAAGATTTTTCGTTACTGAACATCCACGTGTCGGTGTTCGTTGAGTTGCTCCTCTGTAGCCCCGCTTCCGTTGACAGCCAAATCATCGGCTTTTCTTGAAATGAACCAAGTAATAAAAACATTTACTGGCTATCTGGAACTATCTGGAACATGTTTTTACGCGATTTAGGCTTACTGACAAAGCTTGTTTATTGTAACGTAACTCCCGGCCGCACCGGCCACCCCTAGCAGACCGCCCTAGAATCATTGTACTACTCATTCTAATTCACAACCTTTGATAGGAAGAGTGGTTGCATGTAGAAAAGCGTTGGGCGGTGTACTGGGTGGCCGGCGCGGGCGGGTGGCCGGTGCGGGAGTTACGTTATTGCGTTTTCTCTTGTTTCACACCGATAACCATGCAACCTGAGTAGGGACTACCACTTCATAAGGACGTATCTATGGAAGAATCCGTCTGATTCGGGCTTTTTGGGAGTCATCTTGGGTCATCTTACGATACACTAATCACGAATCACGAATCGCGTAGACTTGCATAGCTAGTGGTTGATTCCGAGAGACAAAAACAATTACCTCCCATTACACGTAGGCACACACATCACGATAAACCCGTCATACTTGATTGGCGACGGTTTGGGATCCAACGCCCACGTGTCAGCCGTTTCGTGCTTATCATTGTCTGAATTCTGCTGAGTACTGAACCTTGTAAACTTTAAGAGTAAGGTCGAAAAGACGCACTTCTGGTTTTTAGAAGGGAAGAGACATAACTGTAATCAATGGCCGTGTATATAATGGTCAAGAATCCCAGTGGTCATTGTTTATCTTTGTTTCTCTAAGCAAACATCTTTCCAAACTTCCCAGGACATAGCAGAGCGTTTCAATAAACGGTACTATTCTCATCCTTCGTGTACGGTGCTTGAAACTAATTGACTAAGGTTCCATCCCTTCGCCATGCCAAACAAATGGAAGAAAGTCAAAGACATCCTCTTGCAAGATGGCTATAAAAAGCTTATAAGACCAACTGTTCCCGTCCATAAAACCGCCTTCCCCAAAACGACGCCTGAATTGGAAAAGTTGGGAGTGCGATTTGACTACGCTGGTACTATCGAAGAAGACGAAATGAAGTTCCATCGATTCCAAGTGCAGGTGAATTCTGGAAACAAGATACCAACTTCTTGGAAACAGTGGAGACAGAAACATAAAGAAGGGACCCATGGCAACGTGGCTACTATCAAGGTGCCTGATGGCGGGACTAAAGAGGATGTTCAGGCGGCTCTTGATGCGGTTGATAAAGAAATCGACTGATTTGATTCCATACTTCTATCACTGGATTCCAGAAACCACCAAGTTACCAAATCTATGTGCGGTCTTTGTTGCTGTTATTTTACTCAATTGGCTGCGTGAACCTGAGGCATCGAGAATTGTCGTGTTTCTGATATGAAGATGAGTCGTAAATAGTAAGCGTTAGGCAAAGTTTAGGTTTTAAAATTAATCACTCTGCAAAGAGATCGACGAAAGGCACTATACTATAATCTAGTATCTAGTCGTTAGACCCTGCCTTATCCAAATTCGCGAATGCGAGTTCGGAAATGATGATGTCCGGTCTGCGGACCTTTCCACTGCTCTTTCAGCTCTTCCAGGCTCGAGGAGAAGAAATCGTAGGCGGAACAACTAGGCATTCGATATGTATTATCATTCAACCTACAAGTACTAGAGACTTCGACGGGTACGTGTTAATAATTAGGATTTTTAAATGAGGGAGGATGTTCAAGTTCTTGATTATTCCCCACCTTGTCCGGAAAGATCACATGACTCAAATACGTGCGTGCCCAACGAATTTTCCAATGCCCCTCCATTTCCGGCCTCGAAGTCATCAAATGCCAACGACGGTGCTATGGTTTATGATATTGAAGACTCCCTATATAAGGGTAACAGTCGCATTCAGCTCTCAAGTGCCCTGATCCGAATATAAGTACACCCCGATCTTTCGCTTGCCATACATCTTTTTCACGGTTTCTGTACCAACGTTTCTTTCGCAATTTACATTCACCCTTCTTGGACCCAAGTCTTCGGAAGGCGTATATTTGGCAAAACGGTGAGCACATTATCCGTTATAGCCTGCTTAATTCTCATCTTTGGCGCTTGGTTAGTGAATACCAGCCAATTTACAGGGCAGATATTTATTACTGGCCATGGAGGTTGGAACCCCTCTTATCATGTTGACGTCGGAGACAAGCTAATTGTTTTTTGCATCTCAGAGAGGGGAGAGGGCTCTTTCTGGATATGAAGAGGAAATCCCCAGCCATCGTTTTCCACCCGACGATAAAAGGAAGGTAATATCCTTCAAAGGCGCATATCTTTCGATTATCAACAAAGAAACAAGTGACCAGCTCGTCTTCAAAGAAAACTTGACAGAATTCGAAGACTTCGAAATACCACCAAAATACACATGCTATGTTCGAGGCGCTGTGGTCTTTTTTAAACTTTAGGAGGAGAGCGCGCATTGGACCTTGAAGAGATCATTCAGGAAATACCCATCATCATGGCCACACCAGAATGTGAATGAAACATCCTGTGAATCGTCTTTGGGGAACATCACAGCCAAGCATCCTGTCGTACTTAATTGTCGGCTTCTTTCCCATTTCCAGAGACTGCTGTTCTGAATGGCCCGTTTAAATTGTTCTGGCAGGGCTAAGATACTGTCGACAGGAGCATTCGTGAACATGTATTTCACTTCTATTTATTTTATTGTTAGCATTGACTTCGCATTTTGACCATATCATTCTTCTTACCCCTCTTTCCATTAGACGGCTCTGTCAACTTTGCTACCATCTGATTATCTCGTACATCTCCCTCATCTTCTGTATATTGCCGCATACGTTTCTGTCCATAGTTTTTGGGTGTCGTATCATTATTCTGAGGATATATGTAATCTGCGTCTGTCAGTCCAGTACAACAAGTGATACACAAACGAACTTACTGCTTGCTTCGGAACTGCATGTATGCTCTGTTTCAGGTGAGATTCCTGGTTCGCACAGATCAATTTCTGCGTTGTGGTATTCTATCTAGAAATTAGCTCTCGCTAAAACAGTTATTAATGGGACGAACTTCGAAGGAACGGCCGCGTGCTCGCATTTAGTGGCAGTTTTACTACGGTTCTTCGAATGGAGTCACGCAGGATCCAGTTCGAAAGAAAAGCTCGTCTCCTTAGATATTCTTGAGTATTTTCCACAAGCCAATTAAACTCTTTGTCTGGGAAAGAAGAAAGGCCATTGAAAGAGAGCATTAGAAATAATTGCGTGTCGCAGTTTAGTTTCAATAACTTGTTCCATCTTGGCGTACAATCTCCCGAAAGCTTTTTGACATTGTACGTGATTCGCCGGACTGGTAAATCCCGTTCATGCTTAACAAGCTTGGAAACAGAAGCAAGGCTGATTAGCATGGGTACCTCGTCTGCAAGCATGTTAAGTCTGTTTTGCAGTGCAGTGCCGATTTCTTCTTCGAAATCTTCGAGTTGCAGAAGACTTTCGTGAAATTCTTCAAGTCTGTCGAAGACGTTTTCAATCATGGCGTGCGCGTGGTGTGGATTGGTTTCGAAGCAGATGTATGTGAATAATAGAATTAGGGAGCTGGAGTACGAAAGAAGATAGCGAGCACAACTCTGTTTTTGAATGCCAAACAGGCTTGATTGAGAGCTGATTATTTTTACCCCGCATTTAGAGTTTCACACTTGAACAGCAGACACGTGGCTGTTTGGTTAGAAACAGTGGTATTCGTGAGAACGGTTTTCATCGTTAGAGTTACAGAGCATGTTGACGTGGCAAGGTCGCAACTCAGCCAATCATAAATGTTGTTTGAATAATGACTAATTGGCCAAGTCACGAGCGCAATCTTCTAAGACGCGACCTTCCCCTTGGTTCACTATTAATTATCATCGCCTCTACCCATTCGTTGACAGGTAGAAGTGTCTCTACAGCACCCACATTTTCAATTTTGTTTCCTGGCGGACTATGAATCTTTTCTCCAAATCCTTATACCGAATTCCTAGGTTACTGAGGAGGAACATGAGCTCTAGCAGCAGTCGCAATCTGTTTGAATACACGTCGGGTCGGTTCTTGTATGCACCTGCTTCTTATTTAAGTTAGTCTGGCGATTGCGTTTTACTGAAATCTACGGTGCCTTAGATTTAATGAAGAACTTCGTCGGAGTGAACGATATGTACCATTCGATGTCGATGCGCTCTTGAATGCTATCTGCAATGCTGTCAGTCGAAATGTCGATGACCTAGCTTCATTTTCTAAGATCGCAGAAGGGGGATTCAATCGGATTCTTCAGGCTACTTTCAAAGATGGTTATGCAGTGATTGCTAGGATACCGTATAGAATCACCGTTCCAGAACATTATGCTGTGGCTAGTGAAGCCGCGACACTTGACCTCCTTCACTCCAAAGGCATCCCTGTCCCCAAGGTTCTCACTTATGCCCCCAACCGTGCGAACCCTGTCGGTACAGAATATATTCTGATGGAAAAACTTGAAGGCGTGCCATTGAGCACTCAATGGTTTACAATGAATAATAAAGCCAGGGTAAAGATTATGAAGCAAATAGTCGACTTGGAAAAGCAGTTCATGAGTATCCGCTTCCCGGCTAGCGGGAGTTTATATTATCGCAAAGACTTAACGCAATTGCAACGTGCAATACCCCTAGCTGTGCAAGATAACCCGCGCGGCCCTAGCGAAATTGTGGTTGGCCCAACAGCGCAGCATGAATGGTGGTACAAAGAAAGAGCACGCTTGGAAATTGATCGTGGCCCGTGTATGTTAATCACCTTTGCTCTGCACGAACGGTCCAGATGTATTGACAATAGATTTAGGGATTGATTTTCGCTCAGCCTTTGAGGCTCCTGCAAAACGTGAACTTGAATTTTGTAAACAGTTCGGCAGATCTCGCCTTCATGTTGAACGATATTTGCGCCAGCTATACGAGTTCAAGGAAGCACAGCCGGCAACACACATACAACTCCTCCTGGAATTTTTAAGGTTGACACCTCATCTGGAAGTTCCTTCAGACCATCGCTTCTCTCGCCCTACCCTTCGGCACCCAGATTTTTCACCGAATAACATTTTAATTAACTCCTCCAACGATATATCGGGAATTATCGACTGGCAACATGCTGTTGTTTTGCCACTTTGTTTATGCGCCGGTATACCAGATTATTTTCAAAATTGGGGTGATCCTTTGTCGGAGCGACTTGCAAAACCAGAGGTTAATATGCCAGACAATTTTGATCAGCTGAACAAGTTCGAGCAGGCGACAGTTAAAGAGTCTATACGGAAACGCCTCGTCCATTTCTATTATGCTGCGCTGACTATGAATCAAATGCCAGATCACTTTGATGCACTGAGGGAGGAGAATCTAATGCTGCGTGCGAAACTATTTAAACGTTCCAGTGCGCCATGGGAAGGTGACTCATTGTCCCTCGAATATGCTATATTTCAGGCTTCTACAAATTGGCCTATGCATGTCGACGATATGGAACCTCCAAGTGCTGTTATGTGTCCAGTGCAATTCTCAGAAAATGAGATCCAACGCATCTTGAAAGATCATGATCGAGAACAAGAAATAATGGAAGAGCTATCGGAAATGAGAGATCTGATAGGTATTGATGCTCTTGGCTGGGTTCCCGATGATGAGCAGTTAGGACGATCGAAGGACGTCGTACGGCAGATTAAGGCAGGCTTAGCGGAGCACTGCAACACAAAACTAGAGCGGACTGCGTTGCAATCTCATTTTCCCTTCGATGATCATGATGAGGATGGCTAGAGAGTCCAGGACATGTAGCTCATTGAACCAACTGTCAATAAATTCGTCGACACTCAACTTCCGAGCAGACCAGGTTATCTTGCATGAAGTGCCGTAGGGTGAAGGGTTGGGCATCTGAGCTGAACGGGAGGAACGAAAATGATGCCGATCACGTGAAGGAACTTCTTGCTGTGTAGCGTAATATAGAGAGGGAACAAACTATTGTATGAGTGCATGATGTTTGCCATTTCATGGCATTTCCGTTGAATACTCAACTGCTGGACCAGAGTCGAATAAAGAGATGAACTCAAGCATTGATAGAGAAAAGAAAAAGTGCAGGAAGACTGATCCAGCGCATCTGTATGACGCTACAGACCGACGTAGTCGACTAAACATGCACGCTTGGAAGTACAGTAGGTTATTATTACTAGTGATAATGACATCACCATCAATTTACTAATTGCAATCATTGTACAGGAGGGTAGGGACACATGTATCAGGGACATAGTCTGAATCTGTGAACTGTCTGGGTATGGTTTTTGAACTCATCTCTGCTGGAAGGCAGAAAATTAATGTTCTGTATGCTGCATATCCCGCAGCGACGATTGCCAGTGTTAAATGTAGCTAGTTCCTGGCAGTGAATCTTCTCCACGTTGTTCCACGGTTTAATCGTCTTGTATTTCTTTTTTTTTTTTTTTTTCCGTCGGTCAACTTGGGGCAGATATAAATCTGAGAGGCAGAACGGATATTGTAAGGTAAGATAATATTTCAAGGTTCATTAAATTTATCATCTCATGTTAATAGAGTTGCTATAATAAGACATCAACTTTCCCTATACCCAGCTCCTCTAGAATTATTTAGGAAGGATTTCAGGGATTTATATGTCTTTTCAAGAAGACTATCAGTGGAATACAACACCCAGTCTTTCTGGCAATGGAGACAGGAACTCTGAAACAGAGGGGCATTCCTTTAGATGTTGCATACACATTTCAGCACACCCATCAACATCTCCTGGTGTTAAAGAACCAACTTTCGATCTTGTGCTAGTGTTAAGAGTCACGAAAAATAAAGTATCCATGTTATTCAATCGTAATCGCTAAGATCAGTCATGTCTTAACTTGCATCTATCTTTGGTTCAAATAATCTTCTTCTCTAATCACTGGAACAGTCCTAAGTAGAGCCAGAGCTATAACTCATTGGGTGGAGGCCACCAGCCCCTGTCTTGCAGTAGTTATCTTGGTAATGTAAGCTCTATCTGTAAAGCTACAGGGCTCAATTAGAGAATAATCACATCTTAAAGAAGATAAAGATAAATTATATATGGCTTGCACTACACTCAGCAGGACTGGATTTTCAGTCAAGTCTATATTATTAGTCACTTCTAGATTCAATACATGGGAGCCATAGACATATCACAGGGTACGCGACTGTAGATAAGAGCTCTTCTGCCTTGTGTTGAATGCCGGACTCCAGGGCTCTAATCTTCTGCTTTTGCTCCTCCTTGGTGGTTCGCCGTGATTCGATTTCCTGGGTCATCTCTTCACCTGCATTTTGTTTGCTGCCATGCAAAGTCGGGAGAAGTTTGCTTAGAGAGCTCCTATCATGGCACTAGCAACGATGAGAAAGTGCCGCAACAAGCAGGGTTGTACTTGCTACCTTATTCGCGCATATTGTGCCAAAACAAGCGCTTTCACACACAGTTCCTCGGCTCTTTAACCTTGTTAGATGTCACTTCGGCAGGCGTCATTACTTATTGGATACCGGGGTCGTGATTCCGGGGTTTATGGGCCTAGCTGAGTAAAAGTTAAGAAGGCAGCAGAGGAGTAATATTAGGAGAGCAATTGCAGCGTCTATAAGACGCACGTCGAGACTTCACAGGACTTTTTTTGGCTCATACCTACTCAGACAACGAGGCTCCATTTTTGCTAAGCCCAAACCAAAATCCGAAGAATTGCAACTAATGATTTATCAATACCTTATCAACACTTCTTGATAGTAATAAAACGAGCCACATATGCTTCCAATGTCATCTAGATTTACTCTTGTACATAATTTGTCAGCATCAGGGTCTGGTGCGGCCAATAGAGCCATTCTGCCCACTGCGGCCCGAGATACTGACTGATGGAGCTAACCAGGTACTCGCCACCATCACAAAACACCCAGTTGCTCTTGTGGGTATCAACAAGGGCACTGTAATGCGCCAAGATAACCAAAGCTTCTCCCTATCTCTCCAAAACCATTTGAATATATTCGCGAGGAACAAGCACTGGCCATGCAACGAGAGCATCGATACTGTTGGCTCCTAAGGCGGGACGTCCAACACACTCATAATGGATTGTGAGGCCTGCACAGCCTGTTGACATACCCTCGTGGTAGATTCATCCAGGTCAAGGCCCTGGATACGATCTAACAGCACTTGGCAAGTCGGGCCCAAGGTTTTATTCGGCGAAGGGATCCTTTCTCCAAGCTCTAACACCGGTTTCAATGCTGTTTGTTGCAGAAATTGCCATCTCCCCTGGACTGCGACAGTACACACCCCATGGCGAACTACAACGTACTGCACAAATCGGTTAATAAAGCTCTCAAAATCATTTCCTCGACAGACCAGCGTTTCGCAAAGCATGTGCAGGCCTAGAAAGCCAGCGAATAGAAGATCAGGACGTAACTTTCATCTCTAATTTGGTCTGATGATGTATTGAACGAGCTCAATGCATGGTTTTGTAACTGGTAGAAAGGTCTCGGTAAGAATCATACTGCTCCAGTCTGACGATGCTGAGATGTAAAGCACTCAAAGATAAAAGCTCGTTCATGAGATAGGGTGTATCATGGCGATTAGCAAAATGTCATGTATTGAGACACCTGAGAGAGACTTTGGGCGGTCTAACTCTTTTATTGCTTCAAAATAAAGTTTATGCAGAAGCTCGATGTGGAGCATGTTAACTGGGGCGTCTTCAGGGATGTTACTGGGTTGTTGGGCGGTTGAGGTTCCCGTCGGCGATACAACGGCAGGCGATACAGTCGTAGTATCACGGCTAACTCTGCATGAGGCATGTGTAAGAGGCGCAGGCCTCATAAACTTAGTTTCGCTGAGAACTGATACAGTTGGAACATATGTGTCTTTTCTCATAGCACCATGTGACGTCAGTGACTGCACATAAGGGGTTTTCGAGTGATGAACCTTTATGTGGTGACGCTTGCATTCATTGCAGCCATTTCGGGATTTCTTATGTGTCCTTCGGATCATTCTTGCTAGTGTGGTTATGTGAGAAAAAGGATTGCTAGGGCGCCAGATGTGTTGGGGCGAACTTAGATCTTAAGGACCATGGCGTAGAAAGACTGCGCAGCCTAAGCAGTTCTGCAGAAGCCTTTATGACCCGCCTAGCCTATCACACTGACCCCACTAAAATATTAAAGATCTCTGAGTTGTAAAGAACCAGAACGAGCTGCAAGCAACTGTGGGTATTGAAAGAAGCTATGAAGTCGAGAGAGCGACGAGCGGGATAGCCCGAACCCATACCGGAACAACATTTAATCCGGCCGAAGCACGGGAGCCTCACATTACCCCAGACTGCGGCATATCCTCTCCATTGGATATTGGGTCAAATATCAGCCCACAAAGAAAAATTCCTTATCACCAGGACCAGTGATTCTTCGGAAGTTCGTCTTTGATCATGGACTTATTCGTCTCCCATATGTTCGAATTTTCTCGAACAGACTCTGGAAAATCCGTTCTGAGGCTTTGAGGTTCCCGTGGCCCGAATCACGTGATGTCGAATGCCAATAACTGTGTACCATTAGTCATCAGCGGCCCAACCGGACAAGAGAGAGGAAATAGGTAGGGATCGCACTTTCCTGAAAGTCAGACTGAATGAACTACTTGCATGCTATGCTATCACTGCCCGCTCGCTCCCATTTTGTCCGAAGTATACACATTCTTCTACATATCAACTGCCATCTCTAAACCGCACATCATCAATGGTCTAAACATAGGTAATTAATAAATAACGGCTGCCTAGAGTGATAAACGTGGCTGTGTACATAGCCAAGAGCCCCGGGGTTTCAGAATAGAATTAGCAGCCAATGATGGACGGTACTACCTCAGGATTATGGGCCGATTGTCTTGCCAGTGGGTGAGCTCGCGCGAAGCGGGTGCTTGCTCACCCCAACTATTGTACACTCACCCTAAGGTCACCCCGGTCGCGCAACGGTAAAGCAGCGCTCACCCTTAGCTCCCGCAAGCTGCACCCACCCGGGTATTGGCCGCGTTTAAGCCACACGCCGGGAGGTTAGTAGTTGGGTGGGTGACCACCAGCGAATCCCTTCTGTTGTATGTATTCTTCTCCTTTTTTCCATCTTCTTTTTGTTTGTTTGTTTTTTCTTTTGGGTAGGGGGGTTAATTGCTGACCAACGTTGAGAAATGTCGTCTATCCTTATGGTGAACTTTGGTGGTGGACTTAGATGGGATCGATATAGACTTCGAAAAGTTTGTAGCATTTAGGCCGCGATGATATAAGTGACTATCTGCTTTGAAGTGAAAGTCCGTAATGCATCCCAGATACATACTGTACTAGTCCATTTTGCATAGTAATGGCTCAAGTTCGGGTCCACGTATCCCAGAAATTGAATATAGACGCTTCATCCATGAGCAGATCGACGAAAGCATCCGCCGAAATATCATTATAAACCGGCGCATTTATGGCCCCGATCTCCGCTGTCCCCATAACATCACCAGTTTCTTCCAATCGCGAGGTATCGGTTAGATTATGGTCGGCGCCAGCATCAGGGTATCCTGGTAAAGTAGTCTCTGTATTCTCCGGAAAGAGCAGCTGGATGGCCTTTGCGAAGATCGCGCGGTATATGGACGCAACGGTGTATGTCTTTTGAAGTTCTTCCATCACCATCATGCACATACTAAGTTTGTTGAAGCGAAGTCGTTTAGATAAGGAGTTGCCAATCTTGCAGTTGAGGAGGTTGGTTTGCATTGCTGGGACTAGGAGGGGAGGTCTATTGAACAGAGTCATCAGTAATTGCATTGCTAGACACTAGGGGGGTGGAATGGTACTTACGTCATGGGCCCTGAAAATTCAAGCAGGCCGTCTTGGGCCATAGCTTCGACGACAGTGTTTGTATGAGAAGCTGCTGCGTCGGCCTTCAGTCGCATACGATGTGTCCAGCCTTCTTTGTCAACTGGGTCGAGGTCTTTCGGTAACGTAGTAATAAACGGCCGATAGAATGATCCCGCAAGTGCACTAAAAAAGTTATTATCCAGTCGGTTCCCCAGTCTCGTTCAGGAAGATGATTCTCACTGGTAGTGCAACTGGAGGTGGTAGATGCCGAAGATAGCAACACGAGATAAACTCGGATCGTCTTGTTCTGGAACAGTGCATTGGGATATCTTGATCTCCATGTCATTGACATTTTTTAGCGACGGCCTAGGCTTACTCGCCTGGTAGTGCATGCTAATCACATCGCCTAGTATAGCACTGATTTCCAGATACTTAACCCAATGGCTGGCCAATACTTCCAGGTTTTCTGGTAGGTAGGATGTCATCTGCGGAGACAGGCCTACAACATCGCTCAGAAAGTCATCAACGGATGGCTTTGGCGTATCACAATCGTGGAGGTTGATTCGCAACGGTCTGCCCAAGGTCAGGCTCAACCATCGATCGCGCGAAAAGCAGGACCACCATAATCTTCGCCAAAGGTGTCGCTGGCGATCCGTGATCGAGGAATTGTATGTGGATAGATCTGGGTCTCGATGGAGGCCTAGCATTTGGCAGAAGCTAATGGCAATGCCCATCCAGTACCATGGTTGTGTGTGTTCATCTGCTTCGGAATGCCAAAATGCCATCAGCAACGATGCTTGCAGTAGAATTATCTTATCCATTTTTCCTCCGTGATTGTACATGCACTTGTCGTGGACCGGTTATTAGCAACCAGAGTCTAGTCGGCTTTATCGGATAAGCACTCACGTTTGCCCGAGCATACATCGCGGCCTTCATCTCTTTGCGCGATCCGTACCCTTCCTGCTCGTATACCTGGGGAGGAATAAACTACCAAATGTTATCAGTTGAGCTGAAATCTCAGCTACCAGTGCGATGCTTACGTTCGACGCCACAAAGAAGATGCACCAAAAGATCAAGACGTTGTTTTCCGGTAATCGGCCAGTGCGGTGGTGTTCGAGAATCACGTCTGGCTCAAGAATTGGCATGATCGGATGTACGTGATGGAAGTAGGCTCGCAAAAGACTATCGCATGTTGCGGGGCCTGGCATTGTGAATACACCCTTGCTTTCGAGATACTTCTTATCCTCTTCGGCGAGATGGACAGCCGGGCTCGACGGCACGAGGAAATGTTTTGACAGCGACTGGTCAGACAAGCAGATTTCCAAAGCAGATGTTGGCCCAGTTCCTGCTCCTAAAGAAGGGGTTAGTGTCAACTAAGCTGGTATTTGCATTTAGGCTAAGCCCTTACCGGAGTAGAAAGGCACTCCGCCTGCTCTTCGAGGTTGTCCCAACGCAGCAGCGGCAATCTCGAGCCCGTATTGCTCCTCACTTTCTGCATCATTTAGCAGCAAAGGAGTCTGCCTCCTCGATATAAGATCGGTCTCGTAGCGGTTTATTGTCTCTCGGGGATAGTCAGAAGCAGGCGATGAAATATTCTGAGGCCGGGTGGCGCGGCTCACCCCCGGCAGGGCGTTGTTCGAAGGGGTGTGAAGATGCTGTACTTTAGAAGTCCGATTGCGACGAAGCCTAAACAAGGTCAGTCTGATATCCGAGCTACGATGGTAGGGTTATCAATTTGCGACCACCTTTCCTGTCTTTTCGGATCCACGACACATTGGGTGTTATCCTGTGCACACCCGATGCAGGGAACACCGGTAATGTTGAGGCTGCATCTCACTTTGCGATTTCTGCAGGTCTCACAAGCGATCGTTGATCGCTGATGGCGCCTAGGAGTTGCTTTCTGTTGGCTGGTGGGCATTCTAGCGTCTGCTTGTCAGTGATCTGGTGTCTGCGATCATCCGAGGAAGCTGTGACTGGGGCAGGAATCATGATGTGTCAGACAAACACTAACCTCGGAAGTGCGTGGGAATTGCGCGCGTTCCGATTGGACAAACAATTACCGTCGTGGGGCACAGCACGGCATGCCGAAAATGGGCCGGGGGACTCGGGAATCTCGGCACGTCATGTCAGGGGCATTTACTATTAGGACTCCACTTGTAATCCAACGGATTTTTCAGCTACCCATGTTTGTACTATCGCTAGCTGCCGTAGATAGTTAGGAAACATCTACCTGTTTCATTCTGGCGCACTTCGATTGCGTCCCTACTTAAGTAACACATTCCCTGGTGCCTCGGAAGATGGCCTTATGCATAGCCTTAGTAGAGCTGGTATTATTAGTACTTTCTTAGAGATATCCTGGAATTAGCCATGGTAGCTCTAGGGAACCATCAAATTAGACGCTAGTTGGGGTCTTGTAACTCACGTTTACATGATAGTCTTAGATCCAGTTCTACTAGTACTGCCGATAAGGAATATGTATATATATGTACACCAATGCAGTCAAGAAAATTTGACATCGGCTAGATGCTGAAATAATATTACGAACTATGTGTGTGTCAATATAGATCTTCACTTCTATAATTTAAGCGCCGCGTACCATGCCAGAGTCTATACTATCTAATTGACTTTTTCAGCATGGTTAGTAGCTTTGTATAACTATTCCTACTACAGTTCATATGTCATCACACGGAAAATTAGAAAAGTAATGGCTCTATCGTTAAGTTATAAAACCAGAGGTTCTTTACCCTCTTGTATAGTAATCTAAGGGGTCGAAAGAAAAACAATCAATTAAACTAACTACTTACAAAATCTCTTGTGAGCTTGGACAGAGACAGCAGGAGGAAAGAATAATGAATGAAAATAATGCTTCGTAGATCTCCTATACCCTTTTTCTCATGGCACTGGGCGAAAACAATCTCTAACTATTCAGTGTTTATAATTCGCTGCCAGTAGCAGTGTCTTGCTTGGCTGCATTATGTAGCCATAGCGATTATTTGGTTGTAATTACTATAACTATCTCTACAAGGAAAGGATTGGATATGGGAATTTATCTTAGCACGCTCAAACTGTGATACAGCTGATAACATGCTGTTATCTGACTTGACTCTTGCCTTGTGAATCTGCAGAGCTACAAAACTCCTAAATTCATTTGGCTGTTATAGAATCTGTCGAGGTGCCATCAAAGATATATATGCAGGAATACCCACGTTCAATTGTGATTGTTATAATTTCTGCTCTGTATGAATTTAATCTTTTCCCTCCCCCGGGTATAGCTCGGACAAGAAGTATCACTAATAAGATGAACTGATTCAGAGTAAATTGGGTTGGAATCGGTGCTCGCAAATTTGTTTTGTGTCTGAACTTGTCGGGTGTACTCAGGCTGATGCAAGTTGAGCAAAGCGGACATATCGGGCAGAAACAGCACTGCGATCAGCAGCCTATCGACAACGCCACTAGGCAAAGACAGAACGGCTACACCGACATTGATGAGAATATGTGTGAAGCCCTGAAATCAAAATGGGGATGTTATTAAATGGTACAAATCTATACTGAGTTGGCTTTTGAGTGACTTAGGCTAGAATTTTCATGATAACACTATGAAGTGAAGATTGGGCACTGTCGTCATAGGGCGAGCTGCGGTCGAAACGGGAGCGGCGCTAGGACTACGCCAGCCAGGCTAAGCCATGGCTGCATAAGTACTCTAGTTAGTAGCCTAGTCGGCGCAGTAGTAGCCGTACTGCCTCCTTTCCAATTCCTGATTGGTAGGCTAGTGAGGCTGAGGCTGACCAGCCTCATTTCTCGAAACAGACCATGGTGCAAATATTTGCTTATCATCTGCCAGTCTCCCAGTTGCCTATACTAGGCATGTCACTGACACTGACCACCCCCCTCCCGATCACTATTGCCCTTTCATTCTCTCGTTGAGGGGGAATCCTTACTTCTTCTGAGTAAATGCGTACTAGAAAGCTCAACCACCGCGATTACACGGTAGCATGGATCTGTGCGCTTCCCTTGGAAATGGCCGCGGCGGAAGCGATGCTGGATGAGGTGCATCCTGTCCCACCTGTTGACAAATCCGATCAAAACACTTACATAGTGGGGGCCATTCACCAACACAACGTTGTTATCGCCTGTCTACCATTCGGAGTATATGGTACCATATCCGCAGCGGTTGTCGCGAGCCAACTCCGCGCCTCCTTCCCGTCTGTCCGAATTAGGTTAATGGTCGGAATTGGTGGAGGGGTGCCTGTATCCGACAATTCTTCAACGGAAGATGATATTCGGCTGGGGGATGTGGTCGTCAGCAAACCGTCGGGGACCTCAGGCGGAGTGATCCAGTACGACTTTGGTAAAACCGGTCGAGAAGGCCGGTTTCATCGAATCTCGTGCCTCAATAAACCTCCTCAGATATTGTTGACTGCCATAGCAAAATTGGAAGCCGGTCATATAGGACATGAAAGCAGAATTTCGGATATCCTGGCAAATTTGCAGTCGAGGCAACCTGGTGTAGCTGCCAAGTTCAGATATCCTGGTCCGCAATGCGACCAGCTTTTCCCTGCAGAGTATGAGCATTTCGAAGAGAGCAGTACGTGTGAGAGATGCGATCAAAGCAAACTCATTGGTCGACAGGACCGAGCTTCAACACATCCTAAGATTCACTACGGGTTGATTGCCTCAGGAAACCAGGTGATGAAACATGGAATAACGCGAGATCGCCTGGCAGAAGAATTGGATGTCAAATGCTTCGAAATGGAAGCCGCCGGGTTGATGGATCATTTCCCCTGTCTAGTGGTTCGTGGGATATGCGACTATTGCGATTCGCACAAGAACAAGAGATGGCAGCCATACGCCGCGGCTACCGCCGCGGCCTATGCGAAGGAGCTTCTCTCAGTGATCCCGGGCGCTCCCAAGTCTGACGAAGGTGAGTTCGTCATCAGTAATGCTTATGTTCGTATGTTTGATTCAATCACGCTGACCGTCGATCTCAGGTATAAACGAGCCGTTTCGGGTTCCATTTGACTTGACAGGCATCCCAGTCATGAATGGATTTCTTGGTCGTCGGGGAGACTTACTCCGGTTGTGGAATTGTTTACAGCCGGGAAAACGAAACCAGCGAAAGGTAGTGGTCATTCAAGGACTTGGGGGGATGGGAAAGACACAGCTGGCCGTTGAATTTGCCCGACGTCACAAGAACGACTTTACAGCCGTTCTTTGGGTCAATGGGCAGAGCAGAGAAACGGTTCTTCATTCAATGGTATCGATTCTGTCGAGGCTGCCTGGTATACAAGGATTCAAAGATGAATTTGCGGAGGAAAGCATTGAGGAAAAGGCCAGCCATACTCTCCGCTGGCTTAGCATGAATGAAAATTCCAAGTGGCTACTTGTGTTTGACAATGTGGATCATGACGGTGAAAATATTTGCGACTCCTTCCCACCGGCTGACCATGGATCAATTTTGATCACTACCCGCCATGCGAAGCTGGCACGACTTGGTAATTACCAGCAGATCAGGCGACTTCTCACTGAAGAAGCGATGCAGCTTCTGGTGAACTGCTCGGGATATGAGATTGCACGTGAGAAATTCGCCCCAACAGTCAACAACGGTAAGGTCCTCTCTGGAATCCCTTTCTCATTATAGGATGTCAGGAACGGCGAAGTGCTTATATTCTATAGAAGCAAAAGACCTCGTCAATCGACTGGGGTGCCTACCCCTTGCTATCGTAATGGCCGGCTCCTACATTCACGGTACCGGAATAAGCTTCCGGAATTACCTGCGCCATTATGAACAGTCGTGGAAAAGAATGCAACAGACGACCACAGCCCACCTCGAATACTCGAACGGGAACCTCTTGACAACATGGAAGATTTCCTACGACGAAGTACGCAAAAGAAATGCAGCGGCTGCGAACTTACTGCTGCTTCTTTCTTACTTCGATAATCAAGACGTCTGGTTCCAGCTGATAAGGAGTGGAAATATTGCAATTTGCAGTGTAATTCCCCAGTGGTTCCAAAGTATAGTTTCAGACGAAGCAAGCTTTCTCGCCAACGTCAATTTGCTGATTTCATTTTCTTTGGTGGAGTCAAATCCGCAATGTTCCAGCTACTCCGTGCACCCCGTGGTTCACGACTGGTGTCACTACGAACTACTGGGCGAACTGGATCAGCCCACGCGTATGCAACTTAGAATGACCGCCCTTGCTGCAATCGGACATGCCGTGCCCTCGGTCGGTGAGAAGCAACACTGGGTTTTGCAGCAGCGCGTCCTCCCCCACGCCAACCGGATGCTGGCTTGCCTTTCAAAGAGCCCTTCAATACCACAGGAGCCGGCACTGATCCAAGCCCTTCATAACTTGGGGCTTCTATACAAAAGTCAACGAAAGCCGAACGAGGCCGAGCAAATGTACCAGCTTGCTCTGACCCGGCTGGAAACTTCGGCCGGGCTCAATTACCCCCTGGCATCCCGACTCCAAATCATCAACAATCTCGCCAATCTTTATCGCAATCAGAAGAGATTCCACCATGCAGAGAGTCTATATTTGCGTGCTCTGGCTGGATTTGAGGAGACGCAAGGACCGCGGAGTGAGTCCATTCTGGCAATTCTTGGGAACCTGGGAAATCTCTACAGCGATCAAAGAAAATTCGCGGAGGCAGAGGAGGTGTATCGCAGAGCATTGACGGGATTTGAAAATGCTCTTGGCCACAATAGCTCTTCGACGCTCAAAATCGTCCTCAATCTGGGGACTCTTTACACTGACCAAGGTAAATGGAAGGAAGCCAAACAGATGTTTCGCCGGGCAGTGAATAGTCTTCACAGGACTCTAGATTTCAATGACCCGGCAACTCTGACGGTGGTTGTGAACATAGGGGATCTTTGCATCAAATCCGGGAAGTCCAGAAAGGCGAAGCGAATCTACGAGGATGCGTTGTTTCGATATGAGAAGGCCCTGGGTCCAGAACATGATTTTACGAAAAAATTAGCACGGAATTTGCAGAGGCTAGGATCTAGATTGAGAAAGTCGGGTAGGCAATAGATTAAGAAGAAGGAAAGATATTGTTTGCCACAGCCACAAAGATAGGAAAATAACAATAGAATGAAATGAATAAAGCGGTAGATGAGGATAATGTGGCTGTGCAAATCCGCATCCTCGAACAGGGATCGGGCAGGTACTTAGTGCTGCATAACAGTCCCAGTCAGGCTGACACGCCACAGATATTGGGCGGTGAAAGTGGAATGCAGCCTGACAGCCTCACAGAGCTAAATGACGTGGACAAGTGTGATCAGCTCAGCCTTTCACTGGAAATTCGAAAGCAAGAGATTTAATAATAAGCGCAGAATATAGCTTAATCATAATAGTATGAATGCTGAAGTAGCCCAGTTGTTCCACTTGTTTCTTGCAGGCTTTTTCGTTCGTAGTCCCAGCCTAGCTACCTGGCCCGAGCGGACATAATGTCAGAACAAGTCGATCTCCTCCATTCTATGACCTGGAGTGGACATGACACAGTAGACACAGACTCCTCAGGCGAAGATCTCTCGAAAGCGATCGTAGTTTACCGCCGTAACGAAGAGATTTGTCAACCCCACATATTTTGCGGGGACATCGAGGATGGTGAAGAAGATATCTTGGGAAAAGGGTCGTATGGAGTGGTATATAAGGTCAGGTGTGAGACCTGTCAAGGCGTCAGTTTCCCTAACCCTAAGATAACAGCATTGCAATACTAGACCATTCTACTGACACTACCCTGGAATCGAAGGAATACGCAAGAAAGGTGATCACTCTTGACTCGTTCATGCGAGAGGAAAGCCGAAAGAGACACCTCCGGGCGACAGACTTGGAGCTCCAATGCTACATGTATCTGGACCATCCACACATCTTATCATACGTGCACCACGAGATCGACAACAAAAGGATCGAGATATACACGGAATTTTGCCGCCATGGAGACCTGCAAGAGCTCCTATGTGAGGCAGAAGATGGAGGGTAAGCGTGACGCAGAACAATAAAACTGGCAGCAGCACTGACGATGGATCTCGGACAGGACCCATATGCCAGACGAATTTGTTTGGCACATTCTCGAGGGTCTTGCCTCTGCTCTAGCAAGATGCCATTTTGGACTTAAAGCAAGTCGTCGGGATGTCATTTACAGTGGATTTGAATCGTCATGGAACGCTATTTTACATCGTGACATCAAGCCTGGGAATAGTAGGTACATGAGAATAAATACATTTCCCTCTACCGAAAACAAAAGACGGCGAGCTGACGTCCTGAACCAGTTCTCCTGAGTCAGTCGCAATTTGACGGATCCGTTGAACCTATAGCAAAGCTTGGGGATTTTGGTACATCATTTAAACTAGAAGAGAACGGAAGAGCACCATCGACTCAGATGGCAGGAACAAAGGTCTACTGGGCTCCGGTAAGAATTGGATGGAGATCAATAGTTTAGAAGAAACAAATATTGACGATCCACTCAGGAAATTGCGGAAGAAGAGAAACGATCGAGAACCATCACCAAATGGTCCACCATGAGTGACATATGGGCAGTCGGAGCAGTTCTGCACATAATGTTGACGTACGAGATCCCTATCCAGGACCAACCGCGAGGCTTGATCGCTCGGATTTCCAAGCTTGATAGCTTGCGACCAATGGAACGCGCGCCCATTTCGGAGTTGTTGTCTTTGATTGTTGGCGAATGCCTTAGCCCAAGCGAGAAGGATAGGCCATCTGCTCTCCAGCTACTACCTGTCGCGATGAAATCGGACTGTTCACTCGAAAGCTACCAACGAAGTGAGAGCTTCTGGCAGGTAATGGCTACCGATGCGGATTCCGAACTTTCATCCATGGTTGTGGCCCGCTTTGTTTACAAGCACCTGCCGATCATGGCCAAGCATCGGATCCGCTTCAGCCCCAAGGAGATCGTGCTCATTATGAATCTAACGTACAGGTACTGTCGTTCCCACCTAACATCGTGCCATCAAAATCTCTGTAGCGGATTCCTCGATGGAAGTGCGGGTGATCTAACTGGGGGCACGGTTTTCCATGCCCTGGTCTGCCTTCAGGGGGATGACGATTTGCTCCTCCAGACCTTACAAGACGATAATTGGCCCTCTGCAAAGGAGCTATCAACCTGTGCGCTGAAGAAAAACAGAGAAGGGTTGCTTCCTAGCGCTCTCGCTGCAAAGGCGCAGAGCAATGCGCTCTATGTGTGGATGGAAGCGAATGAGTAATCATCACCCCCTCGGTCATGCTGTTATAACAGGTACTAACATAGACTTTACAATCTTAGAGACCGGGCACGAGCTGAGAAATCAAGCACGCTTGCGAAGGCCAAACTAGAAGAGCTTCGCAAGCAGCTTGAGGCTCATGCGAGCGAGGAGTTCGAGTCTACCTTCCGCCTTATGACTTCCATGACCCTGGATCATCGCGTATCTTCATCCCACATGGCAAGAGCGATGACTGAGTCGGCGCGGCACGGTTACTTCAACCTAGCTCGGAAGCTGATGGAGATAGGTGTCAATCCTTCTGCCAGAGGCAGTCGCATGGAGACAGCGTTGCATATCTCTGCCTGGCGGGGAGATATAGCTATGGTCCGCCTCCTTCTAGGCAAAGGGGCTGAGGTAGACGCCCGCGATAAAGACCGCCGCACACCATTGCAATGGGCATCATGGGCTGGAAAAGAGGAAACAGCCCGAGAGCTTTTGTCCAAAAACGCCAACGTCAATGCGAGAGACACCGAGAATCGAACGGCCCTCTATGGTGCGGCTGGAGGAGGTTTTACGGAGGTGGTGCGTTGCTTGATTTTGCACAAGGCTGATGCAACGATACGCGGAGGAAGAGGCAGGGAAACGGCGTTGGAAAGGGCTCGAAACAAGAAATACAATGATGTGGTTGCCTTGTTATCTAGCTAGCTCGGACATGTACTGGGATAAATATATATTTGAGCGAAGAGTGACATCGTAAAAAAGCTTCAAACGAGACGAGGAAAAC